TGTTCAAGTACGGACTGCGGGGATCACCGAATCGAGTGGTCTTTGATAGTATGACTTCACTTTGGAAATAACCTTTCATCATTCTCCCGGAAAAGAACAATGATTGTTTGTTATTAAATCTTTCCGTTTAATCATTGTTGACTCGAATAATCTAATACATTTGAGTAAAATGTGATGGTGTATCTTTAGCTCTGAAGCTTGCGTTATTTTTTGCTTTTAGGTAAAAGCACATGTATGTAACCTTAAAAATACATTAAACTGTCTGATTAATTGTTTAAATAAATGGGTGCGCAACACATAAGACTTTAGTTGTAGTTCTGCAGCAAACTAACATGTTTTTTTTCCTTTTTAATTTTACTTATAAATTGCAAAGATAATGAATGATGCTTCAAATATTATTTGCCGTAACGACACGGTCATTTCTAAATTTTCCTAGAACTATGTATTTTATTTATACCATCATCTGTGTATTTAATATGTTTGAATTTTTACAGAAGTCTTGTGGATACAGTGTATGCGCTAAGAGATCAATTTAACAGTGTCCAAAAAGTGAATTTAATTTTGTTTTCTTTTTTTGGTTTTTTGGTTTCATCGACTCATTTAGTATAAAAAGAGAATTTGACGTGAGCAGCATTCTTTCTTATCATTTAATGCAAAGCAAAAATTTTTATCCAAATTAAATGTAAAAAAAAATAAGTTTAAAATTTAACAAATTTTTTTCTTCCAGGAATTATTTCAACTAAATAAAACAGTTGATCGAGAACAAAAATCACGGCGTCGTTTAGAAGAAATGGTAAGGCGACTATGTCAACAATTACAACAGCAGCAGCAACATGGGCAGAAAGTTTCAACAAATTTAACTTCCAAAGCACCGCTGTCAGCACGTGATTAATAGAGTGCAAATGACCTAGCGTTGAGTTTCTTTATGTTTTGCCTCTTTCATTAGCTAATATCTATTGTTATCCTTCGCTCTCGGACGAATGGTGCATTATAATATGTAGTAAAGCTTGGTAAATTAACAGAATTCTTTAGGATTGTCTTCGTTATCCTACTTTTTTTCGGAAACAGTATCACTGTTTGACATGTCGAATGCATGGGATCACCTGAAAGAAGCATTCAACATCAGCTATCAATATGTTCACTCTGCTTGCTTAGTAATGTGGGGAACAGTTAATGAATTCCTAAGATTTTTTTGATAAATATAGATGCAAAATAGTTTTTGAAATGAGATGTTTAGATAATACGTTGTGTTCAGTTAGATAAAGTTAACATAGTTTTTGTAATTACATTTTAACGCTTTAGTTGGTTACAGTCAAGTATCTAATTTCACCTTATATTGTATCTGATATGGTTCAGTAGATGCTCAAAGTACTAAGAAAATACACTCCAATTAGCAGTTTTTCAGAAAATAAAGGTTATTTTCTGATGGTTACGAGATTCCTCTGTTGATTTTCTTTTGTTGGTGAAACTATGTATATATAATGAAATTACTATGTTATACACACATATTTTTACACGTTGTCCTGTTGTTAGAAAAACACATAAATCGTTTCGCTTTTTTTGGAATTGTTTTATTATTTCTTCGGCTTTTTTCTTCTTCCTTATAATGCAGCAGATAAGTCTTTTCAATGTATTAATATATGTATTGCTGTTTGCTGTGATTTTAATTTACATAATTTGCTTTTTTTTATCCAAACAATATAGTTAGTTATCATTATTCATTATTATTATTATTATTATTAACAGAATACATAAAAGTATAAGTGTCAAAAAAATAACATATTGTACTTATGTTTTGTGATATTTTTACTTTTATATATTCTGTTAATCAAGGAAGAAAGAAAATAGATCCGACAGCTAGTTGCGAAATTGAATTTTACTTGCTTCACTATCTCTTCATATTCTTTTATTCCATTGCTTTGTTCGTATTTTTCTTCATCTGTTATACCGAAAATGAAATGAAATTCAATTGATCAAATTTCCAAAAATTAGTTGAAATGATATTATATCACTGTTTCTTAATTGTTTAATATTGATCCGAAGTTCCAAATTATTATTATTCCCATAGAAATTTAATCTCTTTATCGTCACAAGTTTTTCTCTACTACAGATGCATAGTTTACTTCTCTTTATCAGCAATTCATAACACTGTGTAATTTATACACAAAGATTATTCATACACGAAGTTTTATGAGTTGCTAAATTTATCTTATTGTTCGATTATCACAAATTTCTAGTTAATCGTTGTAAGTTGAAAATTTTTATGTGTTGTTTCGATGCGAAACATTATGAAATAACTCCCTAAGCTTTCTACTACATTATGCAATTAAGGAAAATTTGATCGGCAAATAATTAGGTATATAAATGTTTTATTGACACTGCAAATAACGTCGATTTACTTTTGAACTGTGATTGTAGTGTATGTATGCTCCATTAGGAAAATTAGTAATTGAATGAGTTTATTGAAAAGCGAATTTAAGATCAGAAAATTTCATTTTAATTCATTAAATTATATGAAAAAATTCTGATAATTTCCGATTCTGATACTTGAAGGGAATGATTTCTCGATTTTCCGCATATAACATGTTTAGCTTTTCATCATGGTTGTTAGTTATACCAAATGTGGTATAATCAAACAAAGTTCACAGATATTTGATTAATCAGAAATTGGAATTCATTTCGTAGTTTGAGGTGAAGTTTATGCTATATCTTGAGGTGCCTCAGTATTCTTTAAGTCATATGTTTATTTGTTTCCGATGAATTAAATGTGTTTCAGTTTCTAAGTACCATAACAAATAATCGTATGATAATCCGAAATGAATGAATGCTGTGTAATCTGTATTTTGTTATAATTTTATTATCATATTTGAAATGAAAAATGAAATTATCAGGATGAAATTACTATGAGAAATGAAGTTATCAGGATGAATTACCACCTTCTAGATGATACGGTCTTACATCGAAGGGTATCAGTTTCAATAATCAATTTGATCTTTGTTTCTAGCTTTGTTTTTGTTTTCGAAATTAAGGAAAATTAATTTTACCAGATGGATTTTTAGATAAGATATGAGCAGTAGTTGGATTCATGGGATATCACAATTCTCACATCTTTTTTTGAAATCAAAATTTCAAAATGAACTATCGCAAAAAATTGCATTCTATTTACAGTATTGGTCACTTTAATTTTAAAGGGTCATAAAAAAGTTTGTAAAATTTGTGAAGATTCCATATGTGAACAAAAGCAGTGGTAGCTTTTCATTAAGCTCGAAGATTTAAATCTTCGTATTCATTTTTAGGATGTCGCAGAAGTTGATGATTTAACGAAAATTTCAACGATTCTAATTTTTGATCTTCTATATTAAAGATTACAGCATACATAAAATGAGCTTTAGTTTTGCTTTTTATCAATTCGATCTTAAATTCTATTCCTTAAGCAAATTTAAATTAATTTACTACAAGTTTAAATAAACAATATCAACCTATAGTCATGAAATTGATTTTACATTTTTGTCCATGTTGATTTGGCTACAATTAATTTATATGATTTATTATTTTACATACATATCGGATGAAATCGATTTTAGTTAATTCAAATCATCGTTGTACTCCTTTACATTTATAAAAGGATCTAATAGATTTTAATGTAAAAATTACTTTTCATCAATTTAATTTAATTTAGAATTAAGCAATTTAAAATGTATTCATTTTGCTTCATTTCAAAATGATTACATTTTTAGTTCGTTCTTCTTACCAGTTTTAATAAACAAAAATCAATTTTTCTCTTAACACATATCATTCATTTCTCATCACTTATTTCATTCTCCTTACAAATGGCCTTGTTCGGTTGTTACGGTTTCAATCGATATCATAGCGTGTGAACCGCATTTTTATCATTCTTCAATGGTGTAATGCTTGCTGGTCGCATTTCGCATCAATGATACCGTATGCCGTAATTCCCTCATTTTTCCTAAGCACCTTTTATTGCAAAATTCATTTATACCCACTAATTTCGATGTTTTATTCTTCGTGATGGTGGAATTAAGTAAAATGATTTGTCAATTATGAAGTATTAATATTTGCATTAAGCGATTAGATCGTGTCTAACCTATCGATTGCATTAAGGATAGCTATTTGTTTATATATCTGTGTTCCCGCTCTTTCTATCGATTCAATTTTCCTTTTGCTTAAATTATAAATTCATTTCGTTTTAATTAATGCAGTGAATTAATTTTGGACATACAAGCATATGCCTATCTTTTCTGTTCAGTTTGTTTGTTTGTTTATTTGTTTATTTGTTTTCGTTCAATTTTTCTTCTCAAAATTTTTACGCAACTGACAAATTTCTTCATATTTTTATTTGTAATAATATTAATACTAACTTGTTTCGTTTCATCATTTCTAGTTTATTACGTTTCATCTTACGGCAAAAACAGATAGTATATATACTTCATTAATGAAAAATTATGTGCTATACATGCGATCAACAGTAAACAACGGCTAAGAAAATTTTCATTTAGCAAGTAATCGATAAATTTCATTCCTAAATTTTGATTTTAAATTTATTTCAGTTAAAAAAATTATCCTCATTTTTGGCCTAATTGATTTATGATCGTTTTCAATCGAAGAATCTTAAAGTAATGGATGAAAAAGTTGAAAGTATCGTTTAGTGAAGAAGAATGAAAAATATTCAAAATAAACAACTTTGTAAATTGTTTCGACTAATTTTAATTCTTTCTCTAGAATACAAAGATCGCCGTGTTTTTTTCCTTTTTTTAGCATTTCTTAGAGAAGAGAACTTTTGTTTCTTTTAATTACAAATGTTTGATGTAATTGCTCAGATTCTTTTCACGATGGACAACACTGCTAGATGTTTCAAATTTTTCTACTGGATCATAATAAGTTTTATTTACGATTCAGAGTGTAAGAATCGTGCTGAAATTATTCGATCATTTCATCCATCTATTTCTCTATGGCAACAAAATCACACTGAATTTTTCGACATGCAAGTGAATGAAGATAGTAATACTGGCAACGATTTCTTGAAATATCCGCTTGCTCGGAAAGATGATTCAGTTGTGGATGATTTCCATGGTACTAAGGTAAAGATTGGAAAATTTTCTAAGATTAGACAACTTTTTTGGTAATAGATTTTTTTTTGATGGCTGTACAAAATGGAGGACGAATTTTGATTAAATTTTGTTATAGAAATAATTTTTGAATTTGCTTCGAGTTCAAGAACTGAATTTCATTCTCTCTGAAAAATTTTCCGTTTATCATAGTTAAATGTTATTCTCAGCGTTTACATTGTTAATGTATTAAGATGCCATTGAAACAGTTCATTAAGATATTTGAAACTATTTAAATTACTTATTAATTCTACAATAAATTTAAAAGATACTGGGTTGTCGTTCGTATCTTTTTAAGAAGTTATTAATATAGTTCCTCTTGGTTTCTCCTCCGTTTTCCTGTGATGGATTTTTAGATATTATTAGGGAGATCAGTAGCAAATTGATAGAAACTAATCGAAATTACGAAATACATCAAGACATTTTTGATGTTACTGATTTGGGTTCATCTTACTAATGCTTTTCCCTGAGGATAAGCTGACCTCCTCAAATAATGACCTCCTCAATAATTCCCATTAGTAAATGAAACCTTCTTTTTTTTTGAAATCTGAAATGGTCATAGCTCCTGAATGATCGATTGCAGGTGGCAGATCCTTATCGATGGCTGGAAGATCCAGATTTGAATGAGACAAAAGAATTCGTCCAAGTGTTGAATTCAATCTCTCAGTCATTTGTTGCAAGTTCACCTTACAGGGAAAAACTTCGGAAAAGGTATAAGCTGGTTTCGAAACGAGTTTTTCTCTTGGAAATGCAATTTGAATATTTATATCGTATTTGATTTCATGTGGCTGATTTCAGATTGACAGAACTTTGGGATCATGAAAAATTTGGTTGTACTACCAGAAGAGGTGAATATTACTATTATTACCATAATTCGGGATTGCAGAACCAAAGGTATTTGATTGAATTTTCTTATAATTTTTTAATAGATTTTCATAATGAGATTTTAAACGGTGTAAAATTTTTCGATATTTTAATGAGAACTCCTATCATGTTCTAATACCCATTCTGAAGTTACTTCTCAATAAATAAATGAAACCTATGCAGGTTTATTTCACATTTTTATTCCGCACCTTTTGATGAGTTTACAGCCAGCAATATTATTAGTTCAAGATGAAAAGTCCCATCTTAAATTGTAATATGGATGATATGTTCTATCTGATGACCGCAATCCAAACAGTTGAAAAGCGTTTTGCGATGCTTTTCGACTAGGGAAATCGTGGTCAGATAGAAAAGCAAATTATGAGCAGCTAACTTCCAGCTTGTATTTGCATTATATTCTTTCAATTACTTTTTCCAAACTTCTATCATAATATGAATATCATCATTATTTAGCGTCTTATATCGTCAAAAAACATTGCTTGATAAAAGTGAGGTATTTCTTGATCCGAACAAACTCTCCGAAGATGGCACTACCGCTATACGTGATGAATCTTTCTCTCATGATGGTTCCATATTGGTATATGGTCTTTCACAAAAAGGCAGTGATTGGATGACATTAAAAGTAAAATTTCCAAAATCACAACTGTGCTTCGTATCAAATTGACTTATGTAAAAGATTTTTCAATTGTATGATGAAATCTTATTAAAAAAAAATCATGTAATTCTTACTTCAAAATTTTAAAAGAAATCGTGTAATTCGTTATTTTAAAACTGAAAAGCAAGATCTTATTATTACCAAATATGATGGAATAGTTGTTTTATACCATACTTTATTCGAACTCTTGGGAATATCCATATACTGAAATGTCATCTTATATTGGGTGATTGAATAATCTGATGGCTGAGTTACTTTAAATTCGATCTCGCCTATGACAAATTTGAAAAACAATGTTGCTGATTCTCTTGATGTTTAAGTAGTGTAAGCTCATTTGAGTCATTTTGAATAGAATATTTATGAAGTATAGTTTTCTTTTAAATCCCCGAAATTAGGTACTATATTTTATGCATTTTTTCAGTTTAAAAAAGCTGATGGTACCAATTTGAACGATACAGTAGTAGGAGTTAAACACGGCAACCTAGATTGGCTGATCGATAACAGTGGAGTTTTTTACTCGGTACATGCTTTTATAATTCAAATTGGAATCGATTTGGAATTTGGAATAATTAGTATTAATATAGAATTGAAAATCTTTTTTTTTTAGAAATATCCCGAACATAAAAATGCACTGGAAGGATCGTCGACAGAAAAGCACGAATACCATTCATTATATTTTCACAAATTAGGCACTCCACAGAGTGATGATGTTTTGGTCGCTGATTTTCGATCTCATCCTGAATATATGTGGTTTGTATTTTGTATATTCGTGTTAATGTGAACGAAGATTATATCTGTTTATCTGTCCATTCTTATTTTCATATGCTTTCCCTTATCAATTGTGTTTTTGTCACTCCACCTAGAAGAATCAGCCAACTATATTTTACTTTGCTATAGTGTTATCAGTAGTGAAAATATGTAATAATGGGTAGGGAGTTCATGAGGGCAACATAATTTATGCAGGAATTGAAATCCTTATTGTTAGCAGTTCATACAATTCTAAGAGCTGGAAAGATTGTCAAATTATATCTGATTTATCTCAAGTTTTGAATTGCTTCTTTTCTTTTTATTTCACGTCCATACCCTGTTTTTCTTCTAGTTCGGGTAGCGTAACAGAAGATGGTCGTTATTTGATTGTGGATGTTAGTCGAGGTTGTGATCCCTATAACATGATTTACTATTACGATATTCAAGAAGCGCAACAGAAAATTACGGGTAAAGTATCCTTGAAGCCACTTTTCGATAAATTGGATGCGAAATATGAAGTAAGTCTCTTGTTGATAATTCATGATGATGGCGATTGCATTTTTCTAATTATCTACGCTTTGATATCTACAGAACTTCTATAAGTGTTTAAAAACTGCTGCCACCATAACTATCAGTTTGCTATCCATAAGTTTCAGAAATATTCTCTCAACATTCGTTTTGATTTGTAAGTCATTTATTCTTATAATTTCTCAATTTTCTTTACCACTTGAAAGAACATCGAAGCATATTTGAAAGCAATCATGATAACTGATAGCATGAAGGATGGCTTGAAACTGCTGAATCAAAAATTCTTTCAGCTTATTGATAATGATGGTGATACAGCATTAATTCTAACGAATCACAATGCGCCATTATCCAAACTAATAAGAGTGAAGATGTCAACAGCCAACGAAGGACCTTCTGCATGGGAAACAGTGATACCGGAAGACAAAAATAATAATTTAGAATGGTTGGCAAATGTTGGTGGAGATCGTTTGGTGGTTTCATATGTAGAGGATGTTAAGGTATCGTGACGTTTTTTCATAGTACCATTAATCTAGTTATGTTTTTTTATATATATTTTTTCATTCTTTTCCCTACATTGAAATAATTTTTAATATTAATCATTTTTAACCTATACAAATTGAGAAATTTACTTCCAAATACCAGAATTTATAATTAGCTTTTTCGGAAGATTTTTTCCTTATAATTAGAATAACAGCGGCAACTGTTGTAGAATAAACTTTATGTGTATTCTCCAAAAACGGGCCAGCGTTTGTATGAAATACCATTGGAAATAGGAACAATATCAGGATTTTTTGGACGTAAAGATCATACAGAGATGTTCCTGCGGTTTGATTCATTTCTTACGCCAGGTGTTATTTACTATGTTGATTTCAAGGGCATAGAACCGTCACATCCAGTCAAGTTAAAGGTTTGCAAATTTGTATTTTTTGGTTTAACTAATAATGACTTTGCGTCATCAAAATCGTTGTAATTTCAGTTAATATAATGAATTAAATAATTAAAGTCCAAATCCTACGGTGCAACTTGCTTTCTAATGTTGATGTAATTACATCAGCTATAATAACATCATGTCCTGAAGAAGTTCCTATAGCTTCTATCCTTATTTTATTTTATAATCACTTTTCATCAAGTTTAGTAATGGTTTGAACCGTTCGGTCTTGTTTTATTTGTTTCAAGTTTTCAAGAATATGTCACCGTACTTTTCTACTATTCTGTCACTGTTGCAGAACAATGTAATGTCAAATCGGCAGTTCGTGATGGATTTTGTGTTAAAAAAAAATAAGGTATATTTTTCCAATAAAAATTTGTACATAATATAAAAATTTCTAGGAAATTCGAAGAATCAATGTGAAGGGCATAGATACTGGCAAATTCACCGTAAAACAAGTTTTTTGTAAAAGCAAAGATGGGACAAAGGTGAGTTTGTTGATTTTGAATAAATTATTTTTGTAAGAACAAAAGTGAGTCTTTTGATTTTGAACGAACTGTAAGTTAAAACAGGATCATACAAAGTTGATTTGAAAAATGAATGTCACAATAGTGAAGTTATCGGCACAAAAATCGTATATGGCGATCACGACCGTTCAAATGCTGTTAACAATCACAGTTGTTGTAAAAGGAACTCTTATTATTTGAGCAAAAGTCTGATGTTAGTGACCTATCAGAAATAACATCTGGAATAAACGAGAAAAATTTATTTCAAAGCTTTCAGGTCCCAATGTACATCGTTCACAACAAAAAATTGGAGTTGGATGGGAATAACCCAACCTTGCTTGAGGGATACGGAGGATTTAACATTGCTGAAATGCCACATTTCTCCGTCTCGCATATGTTATTCATGGATAACTTTAAGGGTGTCTTTGCATTAGCTAATTTACGTGGTGGAAGGTAAATCTAATTTCAAATCCGCACAATACATTATATCCTTATAGTAATTATCTAACATTAATAGCATTCAGTCAGTTATTTGTGCTATTTGAAATGTCAAGATTAAATTAGAAGTCCTCGTTCTAGAATTACGCTGGTTAAAATGTTTTTAACTTCATATTGATGTTGGCATATTTATCCTTCTTTAGATATCGTCACACACTATTTTTGAAGTGTTTCTGCTCCTGATACTGTTATAGTTTTTGCGTTAACTGCTGAAAAAAGTGCCAAATGACTTTTATACATTCCAGTGAGTATGGTGAAAAGTGGCATGAAGACGGAATGCGAGAACGAAAACAAAATGTCTTTGATGATTTCATAGCTGCTGCTGAATATCTTATCAATAATAACTATACATCATCACGAAGGTTAGAATTAGATGTTCATAAAATTCATTTTATTCATTTATGAAGTTGTCAAGAAATCCTAGGAAAACAAGATGCAGTTATTATCTTTCGAAAAAAAAGGAAGTCATAATAGTTCGTAAAAAAGTTTAAAAGCTCCTAACACCTGGACCATAATATGACCAGCTAGAGATTTTCGAAATTTCTGAAATTTCATTTTAGATTAGCTATACACGGTGGTTCAAATGGTGGCTTATTGGTTGCTGCGGTTTCGCAGCAACGTCCAGAACTTTTTGGTGCTGTTGTAAATCAAGTCGGGTATGTCAATTTTTTAAAAATATGCTTCAACTTGGTATACTTTAACAAATAAATTAATATACTCTTTACATAGTTATAGGCTTAAAATTGATATAATAAACTACTGGGCAGGAAGTAGACATTATTCATTCTGTTATGGATAAAGAAAGTGAGAAGCAGAGTTCGTACTGAAAAATTTGATACACTTTTTGGAATAATTTGAGGATATGGCAGCTAATGGGGAAGAGGGCTTTTAAAAAACATTCAAAGTTTATGAATGTTATTTAAAAAACATTTGTTATTGTTTCTCTTGCTACCTTGTTTACCTTGTTGTTAATATTATTTTTTATTACTGTACGAAAGTTTTTTCAGTGTACTTGATATGTTACGATATCATAAATTTACAATTGGTAATGCATGGATACCGGAATTTGGTAATCCTGATGAAGCATCTGATTTTGAATTCCTTTATAAGTACAGATTTTTGAACAAATTTCTTCCAGTATCTAATACCTCTTTTTCTATTTGTCAAATTTGACTTCTTTCTAATTTTTAAGTTTGATGTTAGCTAATTCAACACTAATGGTATAACCAATGTTTACTCAAACTTTCGCATATTTTTTTTAATTGAAATTGGAAATAAATTCGTCAGCTGAAATTGGGCGTTGACATTTTTAATGCTGATGAAATCATTTATTTGCATATATGAAATTTTCCTCGTCAGAAATCTGGGCTATATACTTATATAAGTGTCTCCTTTACTATAATTCTTTAGCATAAAAAAATATTACATTTTATGTTCAATTTCTAGATATTCTCCACTTCATAATATCGAAATTCCGAATAAAGGCTATCAGTGGCCATCTACAATGCTTACGACAGCTGATCACGATGATCGTGTTGTACCTTCACATTCCCTGAAATATATAGCCCGCCTGTACGAAGCTGCTCAATCAGCAAATGGCTTCCAGAAAAACCCGCTCATTATACGAATAGATGTGAAAGCCGGCCATAGAGCTGGCAAGCCCACCAGCAAACTTGTAAGTTGTTTCTTAATATTTTCAACACCGAATTTCATCAAAACTTAACTAAAATTTGGTTTCCAAAGGGTGGCGATTGCTTTATCACATATATAAATAATGCTTCAAATACAAGAAATTTCAATTTTCTCGAATTACATCCATATTTTTTTAAAATATATTTTTAAAGCAAAAGAAGCTGAAATAGCAAGATAAGGTGAAAATTAAAGGAAGCAGATGACTTTGCACTGTTTATCAAAATAGAATGCGGAGGATACTGTAGTGGCTGAAAAGTTTTAAAATTTTAGGATTTCCTGAAATTTAAATTTTATTTCCAATTTCAGATCGCCGAAATAGTGGATGTGTATTGTTTTCTGCAAAAAGTGTTAGATCTGAAATGGCATGAAAGTGAGTGAATGAATGATTCTAAACATAAACTTTCTTTTTTTCTTGCTTTGTTGAATTAATTTTTTACCCTGCGACCTTTCAGCGGAGTCTTTTGTGTCATTTGCAAATGACCTTTTATTAATTTTTTAAATCAGTTCTGTTTTCAACACTTGTGAACTGCATGTTGTTACTTACATTTGTCAATGTAAAATTAAAGTTGAATAAATATTTCGAATTGCAGTATTACAGTGAAATATGATCCCTTTAAACGCGTTTTATCGGAATTTTTTTTAAAAAAGTCTCATAAAGGTTTCTTTCAAAACTCGAAACTAATCAAGTTGATACATTCTGGAAGAAATTTTTTAAAGGAGCGAAGAAAATGAAACGGTGTGAAATGTTATTGGAAACTTCTACGGAGCGAAATCAATACTGAGTGACTAAGTTCCATCATTCATAGTAGGAAAATAGTGATTAAGAGTACAGTTGATAATGGAGGATGATAATTAATATGGTTGTCAGCGTGGTTGGGACAAGAATTCGGTTGAGTCGATCATTGTTAATTTGATAGTATTACTATTGTATAGATTTAGAAAAAAGATGAGAAGACATTGATGAAATCCGAGTGCCTATTGCTTTGATATTATCATGTATCATGATATTATCACATCTTCAACTAAATTGCTGCTAATTTGAAAAAATCCTCCGGAAAATTCTGGAAGAGTTTGCAAAGATTATCTACGAAACACAAACGCAATGATAAGATTGAAAATTTCAAATATACATAGCCGAGAACTTTCTTAAATTTTTCGAACTTAATCGAATTTTCAGATCTTTTATTTAAAATTTAATTCATTATATTAACTGAAATTACAATTGTTTGTTATTTTCGTTATTTTGATAATTCCTATAAGTATCGCTGCAATGGAGTTAATATAATATAAATTTCTTGATTTGCCATTTTCATCTTTGAATTTATGTTTTACTGAATTTAGGATAACAAATTAAAGAATATGTCATTTAGGATAACAAATTAACAAATATGTTAAAGAATATTTCGAGCGATATAATACAACAATAGATTATAAAAATTTCTGGGAATTTCGTTGTTACGGGAGCTTCGTATTCGGAAAATTTGCATATTAACTTACTTCTTGCATTTGACATTACCTTTAGCATAGTTCAATAATAATTTTAGGATTTATAGTTTCTATCGGTGATTTATAAATTTTAAATAACTTGAGATCGAATCAACTAAATCGGAAGCAAATAGGAAAATACATCACTCTATTAATTTTATATTTATTATTTACAATTTAAATTCACTACTAATAAAATATTTTTTCATCTAATACTATGACCAAGAAGACAAGAGAAGTATTCTAAAATATTTTCCGAAGTATAAATATAGCAATCATATTACTATTAAAAGTCAAATTAAGATCTAAGTTAATTTCAAGAATATTAAGTGCGAAAGAACCGTAAGTAAATATGACAAATCGATAATAGATATAAAATCTTGGTGGAAATCTGTCAAGAAAAAACTCTCAGCAAGATAAATTGAATTAAAGCACTTCCCCGGAACTAAAAATAACTGAAATAAACCATAGAATTACCATATATATCCTTAGATCTAAGTTTTGTTATTTAATGATGTTTCCGGACAGAATTAGAAAGTAAATGAAACTTTCAGATTAAATTTGACAATTAATTATACAATATGATTTATCATTGTACCGTACATCGCGGAAGAACTCTTCCTTTATACAGTATTTCGGAAAAGAATTTGGCACTTCGTGATATTTCTAGAGAGTATTTGGTAGCTATACAGTAATCTTGAATGAATTTGGCATTGTGTCGTACAGTATGTCTTCCGGAAATGATTTGCTGTTGTGCAGTAGTACCGAAAAAAATGCTCTATAACAGTTCCGAAGGGAACTTTGAATTGTGTAGCAGTGCGAGAATGGTAAGATACTTTGGGAAGCAAAAGGGAAGACAAAAAGTGAGGTGAAAAAATTTGCATGTTCACTGGGGAGGGGCTAAAAGTGTTAATAGCGGATATGAACGATATGCAAATTTTACGCGATGTCTATTTTACCATAAATAAATCCATCGTGGTCCACCACTTCTTTACCATTCATTTCGCAATATTTGGGTGATGGGAGATGGTCGGGTGGGAGATGGGGTGTAAGGTTAGTGTTAATCGAGAGATATTACTTAAGATATTTGATGTTTGTGTGCGTATTAGAGGTGGAAAATGGGAGTGAAATGAATCTAGATAAATCGAAAGCGGGATTCCGGAAAATAGATCGAAAAGAGAATTTTCGGAAAATGGATTGCGAAGAAAGATTCGCGGAAAAAAATTGAAAGTGAGATTAATCGAAGGATGATTGGAGGATGAATTTGGGAGATTTTAAGAGATGGACGATGCAAAGGATGACAGGAATGAAGCCGGAGAAGGATTCGAAAAATGAACCACAGGATTGGAAGAATTGGCAGAAGAAAACTAAAAAAAGATTCCGGAAATAGAGCGAAGAAGATTTAAGGAGGATTTGGGAAACAGGACGGCGTTGGAAAAAAACAGACATCGGGTAGGATTCGGGAAATGGATCAAGGAAAAGATTAAGGGAATAGTCCAGGAGGTTTGTCAAGAAAAGGATTGGAAAGAAAGACTGTAAGGAGAGTTCCGGAAATGCATGGATGAGGAGACAGAAGAAAATTCCGGAAATGGATCAAGAGAAAAATTTTAAAGTTTTGCTTCGAAAAGGATTAAGAATGGATGATTTAGCGAAAACGGAATATTGTTGTTTAGGCAATTTACAGCAATTGTGACTTAAGTTATTTTGCAATCAATGATTACGTTGAATATGTTGCTTTTATCAATAACTTATGCAAAAAAGAGAATGTGATCGGTGGAATGAATGAGATGTCTCCTAGGGTTTATCTCAAAATTGTCTCTCTCCTGGGATCTCCCGTTCAGATCCATCATGTTACGCCTTGCATTGAATAGTTCAAAAGTGAGGAAAATTTCCCGGCATTTCTTATTGTGTGTGCAAATCGTGACCTTAAAAAAGCTGAGTGCTAATCGATAGAAGATTTAAAATGATTTGAAATATAATACTTTAATTTGAAAATCTAAAAAGAGTACATTTAATTATAAAACTTTCCATTTTATTGTAAACAGAAATTACGATTAAAATATTACGTCTGAACTAATTCATGATAGTTTCAGATCAATTTCAAATTTTACGTTACAATTCCTATCTTAGATCAAAATATGTCATCATTTTGGAATCCAAATCCTGACTTAGATCGAACTATTTCGCGAAGTCCAACTCCAGAAATTCCAAGAAGAGGGGGTGATTCCGATAACTCAAGACAAGATGATGTTTGGAACGATATGCAAATGCAGTATGCCAGAATGGAGCGTATCAGACAACGAATGATGGAATATAGAGCAATTTTGCAATGCCTAAGATCATTACGCTCAGCAGAAAATATGAAATATCGTACAAAGCATAGAATGATGAAGGAAAGATGTGAAAGATACAGGCAGAAAGTGGCTGAGGAGAAAGTAAGTTGAGAATGGAATATATGATAATTTGCATATTCCCAATGGATATGTAAGAGTGTTAAAAAAGTAGTAAACACAAATTTATGAGTTAATGTGACTAATCAGTTATAATTAATCAGTTAATCAGGTGTAATTAATCACCACATTTAACTTTAAAGAAAAATTGAACAATAATCAATTTTGATATCTTCTAAAAGAATTCAAATTAGGAAATACTAAATTGGGAGGTACTGATAATAATTGACAATTATATAATGTCGAAGATATATATGTGTTTTGGAAAGTTTCAATTGAAATAAAAGATGAATTGTTTCGTTACCATTTTAACTAAATATTAGACAGTAAAAATATCTCTAGTATGATACATGATATATTTCCAACGATTATTAAGGGCATATTTATCTAAATAATAATAGCAAATAATAGGAATCTAAATAATAGGAATTTAATAATAGGAATTTTTGTTCTTAATTCATCGGGTACCATACCTGATATTGGGTAATTCAAACGGGTACCATATCTGATATTGGATAATTCAGCGGGTACCATATCTGATATTGGGAGAAGAAGAAATAAATACAAAGATTCTGCGAACATTTAGCTCAATTTTGAAAATAAATTCGAATGTTTTGAAATAAAAGAATTATTAATTTATTATTTTATTATCTTTTAATTCTATTTTTACCACCTTTTTTCCCCTAATATTTATTGTTTTTTCATTTTTTGCTTCGAAGAACTAATTGTTAGATAAGCTTATCACTTACTTCTCTATGATAATATTTTCTTTTTTACATTTCAGAGATTGAATGCCACTTTTCAAGAGAGTTTTTTAATGTTAGAACGACAGCTTAGTAATTCCACACGACAATTATTTCATCTACAAGCGGAAAGTGAACGTGAACGAAGAAATATGCGTCTCTTAGAAGAGAATTTCGAGCAAACTAAGGAGATATTAACTCAATTTAGAGGACGAATTGCAAAGAAGAATCATATCTGGAATCTTACAGTAAAGAATGCTTTACGTGCAAAACGTATCGCTGAAGGAAAGCTTCGAGAAGCATTGATAAAATATGAGATGGAAGTCAAACATTCTACTGAATTGGAAGAAGGTATGAAGGAACTAAAAGCTACAGTTAAACAATTGAAATTGGAATTGGAACAGAAGGAACGATTGTGTAACGATTCCAAAATACGTCTAGCGATACATAGCGAAACAGCATCTTTGGCATGTCGACAAATTCAGGAAGCAAATAAAAAGACTGCTGAGCTTACAGATGAAAATGCAAAATTACATTTGCAATTTGCGAATGTACATTTGAAGCTGATTGATTCACAAGAAGCTCATAGTGAAATGGCAATAGAAATGAGTCGAATTAAATTTGAAAATGAGAAACATTATGAAGAGTTACAAAAGCTGAAACGTATAATTGAAGTTGAAATGGCATCATTAATCAAAACAGCTGAGGAAAATCGTATTCTTCTCATACAAAAGGGATGTATGGTTAATTCGCTAACTTATGAAAATTTAGAAATCAGAAAAAGGACTGAAGTATTAGAAGAATTGAGAAAATATTTGGAGGAAGAAATTTGTAACACTACTGCAGTACTTCGAGCACAACATCAGGAATTATTAGTGTATGATACAAGTCAAAAAATTCGAAACCGTAAAGCTGGCTCGTCGAACAGAAAGCGTGATTTAGCGACAAATTCAACTGTATTGCTAGAAAGGAAAGTGGAACAATTTCAGCAACTTATTCATCACTCAATTTGTCGTGTTATCGGATTTCGTAATCAAGTTACATGTATGCTTGAAAATATCGATGTAAGTGATTTTTCTCTTTCCCTTTCTCTCTCTCTCTCTCTCTCTCTCATTTTTCCTTTTATCAAAAATTTCACTTAAATTTGATGATCACCTTTATTTATCATTAATTTAAAGCGATCATTAAAAAGGGAAACATTTTTTATTTAGTGATATTCTTCGAAATCTCTTATTTATGATTGATATTTTCTCATGATAATCTTGTTGGGATTTTTTGCAGAATTTCCTCAGAATGATATATCAAGAAAATTCAGCAGTTCTACGTGAAGAATTACAAACGAACTATGTTTCTGTTTCTGTACGCAACGTATTTTTTTCTAATAATTTTGAAATGGATAATTTTCATGAAATGAATAATTATGTAAAGTATAAAATAATTAAGAAATTAAAAATAATAATCTAAGATAAATTTTTATAAAATAATTAAGAAATTTTTTTTTTTTTTTTGTATAAAATAATTAAGAAATTAAAAATAATATCTAAGATATAGTAAATAATATCTAAGATATATTATTGGCTTTTGCAAAAGTTATGAAATGTGTTTAGTTTAATGATTATATTAATTATATTAATGATTATATTATATTATATTATGATAATATCAATTATATTAATTCTGAATTTTAAAATATCAGAAAGAGAAATTTCAAACTCCTCTCTCTCTCTCTCTCTTCTTCAAACATAAAACATTCCGACATATTACTTTATTATTATTTCCCAGCAAATAAGCAATCAGAATCCGTACAATCAAAACATATTCGGTGGTGGAATGCAGCAGAATTTCGCATTTCAAAGCACATGTAAGTTTACGCGTATCTTTATGATTAAATTTTCAATGCACATTTTTTTTTCCTCTTAATTTTTAAAGCAATATTTATGATCTAATTTTAGGTTAAATATTTATGATTTAATTTTAGGTAAAAAAATTTTTAGTAAAATAGGTAAATGAAATAGATTAGGAGAAATTAGGAAAAAATATAAATTTATTCCATTTATCCTACTTTTCATTTTCCTCAGCGAATTTTCATCCTCCAAGTTTTTTGTCTAATATTTCAGCGATATAGTTTGGTAGTGATCAAACTTTATATTATATTGTAGGTATTATATTTTATATTATATTGTAAAACTTTATATTATATGTGTTTATGTTTTTTTTTTCCCTAATTTCTCCAATTATATTATATTGTACTTTATATTGTATAATTTCTCTAATTATATTATATTGTACTTTATATTGTAAAATTTCTCTAATTATATTATATTGTACTTTATATTGTATAATTTCTCTAATTATATTATATTCTATTTTATATTGTATAATTTCTCTAATTATATTATATTGTACTTTATATTATATATTATATTATATGTGTTTATGTTTTTCTTTTTCCTAATTTCTCTAATTATATTATATTGTACTTTATATTGTATGAGCGTTTCTTTTTGTTGTCTATAATTTCATTCATTGCAATATTAAGGTAAAGAATCGAATATCAATTTCATCTGCTTAAAGTCTAAAATTAATTTAAATTTATTGCGAAATTTTCAGCTTCATATGGTAGAAACAATATTGAAGCTGGATTATCGGGAATATCGAATCAATATCATCATCCACAACAGAATATTCAATTGGACAATAATGATGTTGATGAGGTACGGATTATTAATCCAATTCTTTCAAATCTTTCAAACTCTGAATTATCAGTTATCATTCATTTTTCTTTTCACCCACTAATATTACTTCTGAGATTGCATTAAGCTGTCATGATGTTTAAAAGCTATTTTCAAAATTCAATCTATTTCATCTTGAATTCATTTGATCAATTCACTTTTTAATTCTATTTAGTTCAGAGAGAAAAAGAAGATAGGTGAAAAGGTGAGAGTAATAATATTGAATGCAAAAACTGAATGCATGTTAATTAATTGATAAACATAATCATCAGTAGTAATATTAATAGGTGAAAACTACGTTTACTTTTGGTAATGCCCATATAGGAAGTCAGGAAGTCATTCTTCAGATATGCGAGTAAACCATACGATATAAAATTATCCAGCATGTGTGTGTCAGATAGATAGTCAGATAAATATCAGATAATAGAATAATCAGATGGATAAACTGATAGATATCACATATCAGAATATAATCAGATAGATAGATATCTTTCAAGAAACTATAAAATTTTATTAATATTTTTTTTTCACTTTCAGATAAACATCAAAATATTCTAAAATGCGATTTCTATTTGGAAATACTGCAATTAGAAGAAATTGGTTTTTATTTTAATATTAAATTTAAACAACTACTAGAATTTTGTAGCTTTGTTTTTGGTTAATTATATTTTTATTAATTATTCGTTTTTATTTTGTCATTTATTTATTCTAATGTTTATTGGTAGTTTATCGATTAATTTTCCTGGTATTTCTCGTCTATTTAGTTATTCTTTTCAAAAATTTATTTTTCATTCCTATATTTATTATTAATTTTCATATTTATATTCATATTTATTATTATTTATATTTAATTTATATTATATTTATTAAACATTCCCAAAAAAAAAGATTCCGGTATTTCTCGTCTATTTCATTATCCTTTTCAAAAATTATTTTTCATTCCTATATTTATTATTAATTTTTATATTTATATTTATATTTGTTATTATTTATATTTCACTTATATTATATTTATAGTTATTATTAAACATTCCCAACGAAAGATCCCGGTATTTCTCATCTATTTATTTATTCTTTTCAAAAATTATTTTCCATTCCTATATTTATATTTATATTTATTATTAAGTTTATATTTATATCTATTATTATTTATATTTCATTTATATTATATTTATAGTTATTATTAAGCATTCCCAACGAAAGAATTGTTCTTTTTGTTTTTCAATAAATAAAATTCGTAAGATTGGAAAAGCTGTGAAAAGACTAATAGCACTTCAAAACATTTTATCCTTATTACTTTCAAATTTTTTTTGCTTTTAAAATTATTGCAAAGAAGAAAAAATCCTTTCATTCGTGATTAATTTTGTTGACAGCTTCTTCCAAATAAAATAGTCAATTCATATAAAATTGTTCTTTTTTTTTGTTTTTTTCTTTCCAATAATTAACGAATAATTAATTGTTTGCTTCTTTTTGTTTCTCTTTTAAAAAATTATTCTCTAATTTAAAATTATATTGTTTTTAACAACATTGCCTTTTCTTTTTCATTCTTTCTTTTTAATTTTTAGAAATAATTAATTATTATTACTAATTGTTTAAGAAATTATTGCTGCTAACTAATTATTATTAATAATTGTTTAAGAAATTATTACTACTAACTAATTATTATTACTAACTGTTTGGGAAATTATTACTACTAACTATTACTAACTGTTTAAGAAATTATTACAACTAACTATTACGAACTGTTTAAGAAATTATTACTACTAACTAATTATTCTTACTAACTGTTTAAGAAACTATTACCACTAAATGTTTAAGAAATTATTACTACTAACTAGTACTAACTGTTTAAGAAATTATTACTACTAACTATTACTAATTATTACTAACTGTTTAAGTAATTATTACTATTAATTAATTATTATTACTAACAGTTTAAGTATTACCTAAAAAAAAATGAATTTAAAAAAAATGAAAAAAAATAGTTATTTTCATATTTATTGTTTATTTAAATTACATTTCCTACATATTTTGCGGCTTTTTTTCTATCAAATTTTTGTTTATTTATTTGTTTGTTTAATTTTGCAAAACCTAACATTTATATTAATTCTCACAAATTAGCTATAAATTAGCATAAAATTACGAGCTATTCACCGAAGAGAATTACGACAAGAAATATTATCGCACATAAATTTCGGATACAATTTTGGGCATTTTTTGCTTTCCTTGAAGCTTTTTCTAATTTTAGGATTTTCCAATCATTTCAGCAATTTCAACAATACAAGAAATTATAGGTTAACTGAAAACAAAAACGAAAATTATTATTTGTTATTGTCGTTGCTGTTACTTTAAATTTAAATGCTAACAATACAAGAAATTATCGGTTAACTTAAAACAAAAACGAAAATTATTATTTGTTATTGTCGTTGCTGTTACTTTAAATTTAAATGTTTCTTACATTTCTAATATATATTTTTTTTTTGTTAATGAAATTTTCTTTATTAATTTTTATTAATTAATCTGGAAATGAGGTGTCGATGATAAAATGGGGGGGGGGGGAGAGTGTATACAAATTTCGGATATACGATTTTGGATACAAAATTTCTTTTCGAATGCAATTTTAGAATAAAAAATAGGGTATATGCAAATTTCGGGTTTTGAATTTTAGTTGCAATTTTAGGTCTTTTTTCCTTCATTCCTTTTCATTCTCATCTGAATTCTTTTTTAATGTCTGGAAATTTTCAATTAATGATTTAAGCGAGAAGAGAGATTAACTGAAATTAAAAAGTGAAGAAACTATTATCTTATTCATTTTCTAAAATTCTATTCTCTTCGATTTATGGTTTCACTTACTTTTAATCGTTTGTTGTTCATTTTAAATGTAAAATTTAACATTTGTTTCTAATAAAGTTTCGTTTTTCCTGTTAATTTTCACAAATTAATTCGTTTAATATTACCAAATTACATGAATTGTTCTTGAAATGAAATGAAATATCTGTGATGAATAATAATTAATAATTAATAATAATAATAATTAATAATAATAATAATAATAGCAATAATAATAATAATAATAATTAATAATAATAATAATAATAATAATAGCAATAATAATAATAATAAATAATAATAATAATAATGATAATAATAGATTATATATATAAATTTTGAACGTATCATTTCATTTCATTATGGCTTTATTACTTGCAGGAGTAGAAAGTTTCATAATAATAAGTGGATAATAATAATAATAATGGTAATGATAATAATAATAATAATAACAATAATAATAATAATAATAATAATAGTAATAGATTATATATAAATTTTGAACGTATCATTTCATTTCATTGTGACTGTATTGCTTGCAGTGGTAGAAAGTTACATAAAAATAAGCGAATAATAATAATGACAATATTAATAATAATAATAATAATAATAGTAATAGATTATTATTCACAGATATTATAAATTTTGTACGTATCATTTTATTTCATTATGGCTTTATCATTCCTTACGGACGGAGAAAGTTCGATAAAAATAAGCATGAATATATTTTACGTGATATTACTAGAATTTCGGATAAAAACCGGATAGAAAACGATCAGATAAATAACAAAATGAAAATGAAGAAGAGAAAATAATGCAGTAAATTGTAGGAAACTATAGTTTAGAGAATAAACAAAAAGAAAAAATTAACAAATAATTAATTGTACGTTAAGAAAATTGAAGAGAGGAAGAGAAGAGAATGGATATGTGTGAAATAGGTGAAAAATTTTTTGACCTTTAAAATCAATAATTTCAATTTTTCTTACTTCATCGTATCTTTTCCGTTGTTTTTTTTTTTTTCTTAAGAAACTTTTTAAATTTTCTTTTATTTTTACAGCTTACTACTATTTATCTTAATTTGTTAGCCTTTTATTTCATTAATTTTTTGAATTTTTTTCTTAGCACAAATATAATAGTAATTTTTACCTTTATCTAATCAAATAATTAATTGATAGTATTATCAAATATATGTAAAAGAATTTTTTGAGTGATTGAATTATTTCATTGTAAAAATGTTTATAAATAATTTTACTAAAATTTCAAGTTTTGTTATATCCTGCCAGCTTAATCACTTACTATTTTTATCGATCGTTAGCTTAATAAATTTTAATAAAATACCTTATGTATTTTGTGTTCAAAACTTTAGTTATATCCTGCCAGCTTAATCACTTACTATTTTTATCGATCGTTAGCTTAATAAATTTTAATAAAATACCTTATGTATTTTGTGTTCAAAACTTTAGTTATATCCTGCCAGCTTAATCTCTTACTATTTTTATCATTAGCTTATTATAAATGTTTATAAATAATTTTATTAAAAATTCAAAGTTCAGTTATATTCTGACAGTTTGATTTCACATTAATTTTATCGATCGTTTGCTTAATAAATTTTAGTAAAATATCTTATGTATTTTGTATTCAAAATTTAGTTATATCCTGCCAGTTTAATCTCATAGTATTTTTATTGTTAGCTCATTATAAATATTTATCAATAATTTTATTGAAATTCAAAATTTCATTCATTCCTGCAAATATTATAATAATAATAAATAATAATAGTTTATTGATAAATATCCTGCCAGTTTGATCGCTTACTATTTTTATCGGTCGTTAGCTTAATAAATTTTAATAAAATATCTTATGTATCTTATAAATTCAAATTTATAACAACTATTAATGATACTATTATGATATTTGCAGGTGTGATTATGCAATTCATTTGGAAGAATTTTCATATCGATCCATTTTATTTGTCAAAATTTTAATGCTAATTTTTTACTTTAATTAATTTTTATGCAATTTTCTTTTCAGAATTTGAATAATATATCTCAAATGCTATGAGTTAGCCTTTTATTGCCTGGGGGATGCATAAAATTAAGTAATTATAAAATAAAAAATTAAGCCGTGCCAATAATAAAAGATTGCTTATTTAAGAAATGATAGTCAATAATAACAATAATAATAATAATAGTAATAATAATTAATAATAATGATAAAAAGCAATAATAAGTAATAATAATAAACAATAATAATAGTAATAACAATAATAATAATTAATAATAATAAACAATAATAATAAGCAATAATATTAGTAAACAATAATAATTTAATGATAAATAAATTGTTGATAAGCATTGATAAGTTTAATTGATTTGTCAGCAAGAAAAGATAACAATAATTTATATTTTGATAAATAAAGCAATTTTATCATTGAACATTTATTGTTAAACGAAAAAAAAGTTAAAGTTAAATTTAAAAACGGAAGTAATAAACAAAACAGTTTTCCGTTTTGTGATAATACCAGCATATGCATATGAAATCGGTCCGATAAAAAATACCATAAATAAAGAATGGGAAGCAATCAGAATTGAAATGGATCATATACCGTTTTCGACATTATTCGCCATCCATTTCATCTATCATAAAATCTGGTGGCAATATTTAATTTCTTCTCTCAAAATTTCCACTTTTCTTTTTTGTTTTCTTTTTTTTTGAAAGATTAATCTTTTAAAGTGTTGAAATGAAATCATTCATATCAAACTGCTCTTTAAAAATTATTTTCTCCGAAAATATAACTTTTCTTCTTTGACATATTATAACATTAAAAAATTTCTGACAGATATAATATTGCAAACATTATTTAATTATAGATTCAGTACTTTTCAATTTTACTTAATTAATTAATTACTTAATTATTTATTCATTATTTTTTATTTCATTGAAATATAATTATTTTTACAAACTAAAAATGAAAAAGAAAAAAGTAAATTTTTTTCAGAAATTTATATTGCTTAATATTTTTTAAGCATCAAAATATTTTGATGGCAAAAATTAATTTCGATTAATTATTTAAAAAAATGCTCAATTAATTAATTATTCATTTTTTTTATTTCATTGAAACATAATTTCTTTTATAAACTAAAAAATGGAAAAGAAAAAAGTAAATTTTTTTCAGAAATTTATATTACTTAATTAGGATTTTTTAGGTATCAAAATATTTTGATAGCAAAAATTAATTTCGATTAATTATTTAAAAAAAAAAAATTCTTTCTAAGAACTTTTTGTTTTTCTTTTCCTGTTATCTTTATTTTTCGATGATGCAACAACTAAGCTGTCTTTTCGCTCAAAAGTTTATAAATATAAGAATATATTGTTGTGGATGGAACACATTTGTGTTTCCTTTCCTTCAACTATAATTTGTTTTCATATTCATTCAATTATATATTATACGTGTTTTTCGTTAAATTTCCTTTTTGTTTTTTTTTTGAAAAAAAGAATGAAATATAAAAAAAGCACGCAAAATAAATAATTGCACGTATATCTTACGTGCGTTTCTTTAAACTTCGTTTTTTTCTCTAAAAAAAATTTTTAATAAGCAATAATGTCAAATTCGAGGAAAATGCTAATATACTTTAAATAAAATAATTTTATATTTGAGCTAAATTTTAAGTAATTATAACTTCAGAAATTTTATTTTGTTAGACAAATAGTACGATGAAAAAGAAAAATGATAAATAATTTGTATCGATACAGTTTTCTTCATTGACATATTTTTTGTTCAATAAATCACATAAGTAATCATTAATGATACGTGCGTTACATTAAATATGTTTTACATAACATTATTCATGTCAATAGTAGATAAGCTAATTTTACTTACTTAGCTAATCTCAGTTAATGATAAAAGATGACAAAAGTAAGGAATTGAATTTGGAAATAATTCAGTTAAAATTTGATTTAAATCGATTTAAGGTTGATTTAAGGCATTTAAGTTGCTTGAATAGTTGCTTTATTACTTTCAGTAAACAGTAACAGTTTTTTTTCATATTAGTTTAAATTAATTCTAAATAAACCAATAGTTTACTGAATTAAATTGAAGATATCTTTTACAATTAACCATTGATACTGTAATCAGAAATTTTATAACATTTTATTGTTTTATTGTAATTAATTTTTCATTGGTTCCAAATAATACTAATTGCTTTTTTTGCGTTTTCATACTAAATAACTTAAAATGCGTAAAATTTTGTACCATTAAATTGTTAATTAATTATAAAAAGGAAATGAACAGTTAGCTATTCAATGAATGAAAGTTAATAAGTATTTAAGTAATTGAACTGTATTCAAGTATTCAAGTAATTAAATTGATGTATTGCTTTTATCAATAAGTATTCAAGCAATTAAATTGATGTATTGTTTTTTATCACTTTTTATTTCGTAATTTGATTATGCTTATTTAAATTATCATTTATTTCTTCATCACTTATTTCGTAATTTAATTATGCTTATTTAAATTATCACTTATTTCGCAATCTAATAAGTAATCAAATAATTAACTTAATGCCATTATCTCTTATCATTTTTATTTTGAAATTTCCTTTGATTGATTTTACCCATTCTTTCTCCCATACACCTCCCTGTTCTTGGCTAAACTTCATGATTACCAAATTTATTCAATATCAGTCGAATAAACTTCATGATAAGTTTAACGTCCTGAAATTAACTCAACACATGTGATTTAAATTTCCAATAAAAATTTCGAAAAATATTCGAATATTGAAAAAAAAATAAATTTAAAGAAAACACTCATGCTTATCATATTATTGTCAATGATAACATACTATAACTACCAAAACAACAATTAGGTGAAAATTCGTTTGCATAAAAATGATTTGAAAAAATAGGTCAAAAGTCGACATAATATTTATTTTGCAAAAGAAAAATGATATTCATGAATTTGTTAAGTTCATGTTGTTTGAGTGGAGAAATTCAATTAAATGTTAAATTTATCAGTTAGTATCATTAATGTTAAATTTATCGGTTAATCATTAAATGAAGTCCGAAATGAATTTAATAGAAAGTATAATGATAATGATGCTTTATTTCTTTATCAAAATGATACTGCAAGTATTCAAAAATAAAAAAACAAGAAAAATAATATAAATTAAATTGAATAATTAATTTTATTCATAGTATTAAATTATTAACCTAAAATAATTCCTTCTCATATTCATAATTTTATTAGCATAGTTGTATCATTTAATTTTCAAATTTTTAGTGTAAATTAGGATAATGATGACAATGTGGCAATTAATTCAAATATTTTTTGCCGCTTTAATATGTGAAATGACTGATGGACAAATGAACAGTGTACCAGAATCTGGTGATCCAACAAATCAAGGTAAGTTTAATCAGGTATGATTTATTTGTTTAGATTTAAAAATGCTGGATCATTAAGTGAAATAAAACGCTATCATTAATATCTTCTACCTCTCGCCCCCGATATTTATCATTAAAATCTCCTCCGATATTCATCATTAAAATCTATCTGCTTTCTTTCACACATTTTCGCTTTCTTTTCTGAGTGACTCCAACTAGCTATCAACTTTTACAAAGAATGCGTCCATTAAAATTGGTCACTTCTCGGCTATTCTGTACAATATAATAATAGCCTGCATGAATGATAAAAGTTTTAGTAATTACAATGTAATTAATTCCACGCTATACTTTATCATATAAGCTAATTGGATTGACAAAGAAAAAAATTTTATAGAAGTGGCACTTTTGGAATGGTCATCCGGTATTCGAGTATTTTACTGCATTGATGCACCATTAGAAATTCTTGTGGAACCATTTAAACAAGCATTAATACAATCATTAAATAAATTTTGCCGTAACCCTGCAGCATGTCGTCTTCTTAAATCGTTCGTTCTTTTCTTTTCATATTTAAAATTTTAAAATATAATATTAAAACAATTGTACCTATCAGAAAATTTCATAATTGAAATAATCGTTTCAATGTAATATTTCATTTTTTTAATTATTTCATTTTTGAATTGTTTCATTTTTAATTATTTAATTTTTTTAATTACTTCATTTTTTAATTATTTCATCTTTTAATTATTTCATTTTTTAATTATTTCATTTTTTAATTATTCCATTTTTAATTATTTCATTTCTTAATTATTTCATTTTTTAATTATTTCATTTCTTAATTATTTCATTTTTTAATTATTTCATCTTTTAATTATTTCATTTCTTAATTATTTCTTAAATTTACCAATAAAATTTTTAAAAGAAAACTTTGAAAAGAATTTAAAAAACGAAAAAATGAAATGTAGAAAATTTTCGTTTCACTATTTTACTATTTCATCTCTTTTATCAATTGCAATCTTTTCCTATCAATTTCTTCTTCATCAAGTGAATCATTCAATGCCTAAAGCATTTAGCTTCTACAGGTGTACAAATATAAATAATATTAATAAATATTATATTTTAACTTCTGTATAAATAAAATATTATATTTTAACTTTCTACAGATATATATATAAATAATATATAAATAAAATATCTTAACTTCTACAAGTATACATATAAATATATTTTATTTTCTTAGCTATTATAATTATAATTTTAACTCATAAAGCAAAGGAACAGAAATTATTTACTTACGTGTATATATAGGTACACCTGTAGAAGTTGAATGTTGTAAGTTTGAATGTTTCAAGTTTGTTTTTCAATTTGAATTTTTAAATTATAACTTAGCGTTCGCATATTCCTCTCTTTTAATCAATAAAAGAAGTTCAAAAAAAAAATTAAGCAAACGAGAAGTTAGAATTGAAATTTTAGGATGGAAATTAATTTCAAAATTCATAACTTCGCAATAATAGGAATGAGTCGACATTTCAAATTTTAAAAATAATTTCAAACTTGTCCGTAGCTCTCTAAACCAACTCACTATGAAAAAAGAGTTGTCTGTAGCTCTCTACCAACTCACTATGAACCTGCTCACTGCAGTATGCATTTATTTTATTTGAATTTTCCATTGATGCTAGTAAGTTAGGAAGTGATGAGATGCCTAATCCATTCTCTGAAGGTCTAATACTCGAGCGTGCTATGTGGGTTATGCTTGTGCAACCGCTTACCGTTGAGTTTTTTGATGGTGTTTGTGGGTGGCCCCGGAAGTTCGGGTTATGGAGTACCAGGAAGTAACTAAGGCTCTGATCCTATTTATCAATCTTATCGATCAACAAATGTTTTCCAATCGATGATTACTGGCGATATCGTACCATACAAACATGAATATCGATATCAAATTCTGACAACGATTGATAACTAACTAATACGATCCGAATTGAAATGGATTTATTAAAATTTCATTTTTGACCAAATTCTATCCAATTATCTGATATTATATGATGATAATAGAGAAAAAAAAAATGTAGCGGAATATTGATATGCTACAGAATATCATTTAAACCGGATTATATTGTTTTACTTGATGGTTATCCGAAAATTAATTATGGTGCTGTACAATTTCGATTTGTTATTGTTTTACCACCAAATGCTGTACCAATGGATCGTTTAAGAAAACCATTGCTTACAAGAGAAATTCTCTCAAGTAATTTTATCTTTTTTTTCTTTTTTTTTTAGAATATTTGACTTCAAAAAGAAATTTTTGTTCAAACAATAATAATAATATCAGAATTGAATTAATCAGAATTGAATTATTTATTATATTTTAATGCTATTTTTAAGTTTTTCATTTCCATACAATCTATTGTTAAAATGAATATTATTTTTACTAATGAAAAATTTTAAATCAATCAAATTATTGAAATATTATACTAAGATTGTTCAATTCCTTCAATATATTCATACCACTTTAATATCAACTTACTAAACAAAACCAATTCCAATATGATATTAGTATATCTGTCCTGAAGGATTAGTTTAGTAATTAATAACTAGGGATTATTTAATCCTTATTGGTCAATATGGAATAACTTATTCTTAATTTGCTTGAAACAAAATCAATTTCAATTTTAGATATGACATTAATGTATCTGTCCTGAAGGATTAGTTTAGTAATTAATAATTTGGGATTATTTAATTCTTATTGGTCAATATGGAATAATTCATTACTGAAATATACTAAGATTGTTCATTCCTCCATTACATTCACACCACTTTAATATTAACTTACTGAGCAAAATCAATTTCAATTTTTAATATTGACATTAATGTACCTGTCCTGAAGGATTAGTTCAGTATTTAATAACTTGGGATTCTTTAATCCTTATTGGTTAATACGGAATAACACATTCTTAATTTACATGAAACAAAATCAATTTCAATTTTAGGTATGACATTAATGTATCTGTCTTGAAGGATTAGTTTAGTAATTAATAACTTGGGATTATGTAATCTTTATTGGTCAATACGGAATAACTCATTCTTATTTACTTGAAATTTTTGAGCTCTCTAAGCTCTATATAAATATGCATTGCCAGATTTTTAATTTCAGTATAATCCGAATTGTTGATTTTTCAGTTTTCTTAGATTTGTTGAAATTTAAAAATAAAACTTTTTCTTCGATATCTTAATTTAAAAGTTATAAAAAAATCAGACTTTCTGAATGCATCAATCAAAGAATTTGAGCGAAAATTTGGTTGGAAAGTAAGCAGTTATGAACGATTTCCAAAATTTGATCCAATAACGGAATTCATGAATACGGCACTAATTCCGATTGGATTCATTCTATTCATACTAATTCTTCTGCTTGCTTACTGGTCTTCTACAATCAGGTAAACAAATGATCTAAAATATTTCATTTCAAATTGATTGTAATATTTTTTGAAGTTAAATTTGATAACTTTAAATCACTCTATCTTTAAATTAAATCTTTTATATCTTCCCTAATTGTGATTCAATTTCTGATTTAAAATGAATTTTCAAAAATTATTCCTGGAAAATCTTCTCAAAATTACTATAAAATAATTTACAGCCGATCATATGTTAGTAGCGATGAACGTTTGGTTATTAGAACAAGCAGTGATAAAAGAACAGCTATCAAGTAAGTCTTTGCTAAAATTATAATATCGATCATAAAATTAACAAAACGATCATTTATAAACTCTAAAAAAAAAAAGTTTAGCTAACTTTAAATAATAATGAATTAAATAATTAGCGATAATGCAATCGATTAAAATTAGTTGATTTAGCTGTCAATTTGAGATAGCATAAATTGATAGAATATAGGAAAACTGTCAATTTTACTATAATCACAGAATTTCTTTCTGAAATTAGTTTTCTCAAATTATTAATTTGTGTTTGCAAATTGCAGAAGAACATTACAAATTATTGAACAACAAAAAAAGTTATATGCTGAAAGAAATGGATATAAAGAATCATGCTGTACTGAATTTTCAAAACTTTCAATTCAAACAATACCTAAAATATCAGTAACGGAAAAATATGAGTCAGATCAAAATGTTGATGCATCGAAGAATGAAATTACGGAAGAATGGCTTAAAAAGTATTAGATTTAGATTATTTTAAATTTTATTCATCGATTCTTGAATTATACTGTGTCTTTAACTTTAACCTACATTGGTAATTCTTAACATTTATTCAACTCTACAGATTTCAGATTATAGATAAAAATAACGGGAATGATATATATATATATATATGGTTAATTAATTAGCGATATATATAATGAATAAATTTGAATCATTGCTTCTTTATACATAATTTGTTGAATAAGGAGAAATATGATACGAGGGAAACGATGTATGAATTACATTTTTCAATCGATTGAATCTATAGCAAATGGCATTTGATTTTAGATCATCAATAGAACCAACATCATCATCATCATATCTGCAACCAATGCGATCTGGTAGTGCATCAACGTTGAGTTCAATTGCTGTTTTCAAAAATGTCGGGTTAGCATTGACTTCTTGATTAGCTTTTTATATTTGTGTCAAAATGGTACTATTTGAAAATGCTATTAAAATACTGGAAGGATTATCATCGCTGTTTCCAGCTGAATAATGCAACTTGAACAACGGTTAAGTACAGATTAATCATAGGAGACTTTTTATCTGATCATAATTTCTTCATCAAATCCTGGTTGGACTATCGGTGAAACAATATGGTAATAATTTGGAAGAGAAGCTAATGATCAACTTTTACTCTTTTGATAACAAACATCTTAATCTCTTACAGCATTCATTTTGTAGTTATTCTTTACCGCTATATTGCTTATAATTGTTAATATATCATATATCATATATATATATATATCATTAGGCTCAGCTTCTACAAACAATAGCAATATGAAAAATTACAGTGGAAGACGAGTGTCTCATCGACGACAGAGTTCCATGGATGATAATAACAAACGATTTCGCAAAAAGCGATCTACTTCAAAAGCAAGACGACTTACGCAATGCCAATGGAAATTGACAAGTTTGGCATTGAGTGGATTTGGTAAATCACGAAGATATTGAAGGAAAGATAATTAGAAATTATAAACAATGATTTCGCTATACAGGTCATTTGTTATTGATCAATTATGAATGAATTATGCCTTTTTTTAAGATCTTTTAAATGATTTAAATAAAGTTTTATTAGTTTTCCTGCAACCAAATTTCATTTCATCAGCAATTCGTCAGATGTAACCAAACAATATGTTGATCTAAACATTTTAACAATATCACAATTTCTTGCCATATATAGTTTATGCAGAATAAATTCTGTCAGTATGTTTCATAAAATTATTTAAAACTAGTCAAGCTTCCAATGATCCAAAATACCTGATCTTCAGTAGCTAAGACATAGTAATATATATCTTATTGCCTTGCTTTATGCTTCAGCGACATAAGCCAGTGCTATGGGTAGTGTCATTCTACATCAAAGGATTATCCAAAATTAAACTTCGAAATCTAGCATTATTTTCTGTGACTTCCACGTAGACAAAATATTCCACAAATTTTACCTGTACTGCTAATTTATTCCAGTATAACTTCAAATTTCACTTCAAGCATTAGAAAAATGGTTGAACTTAGGAACAGTCAAACATACAAAAACTATGAAAAGAAAAGAAACAAACTAACTAATAATCAGAAAAATCCTGATCAGTCATAATAGGAATAAGAAAGATGCAAAAATATAAGCCAGCCTAAAATATGGAACTGCTACATTTTCTTTGCGTATACGTAAACGGAAACAAATGTATCCGACTGATTAATTCATTAAGCTTTATTTATAGCCTTATCGAGATGTTGTTGAACAACTTTGAAAATTTCATCCACTGTACCCTCAGATGGAATCTGCAAAACGACAATTTATGCTGTACAGTTTGTACTTTTTAAGTTTTCTCTTTTCTTTATAAAGGAATTTATTTTTATACCTAAAATGCTCTTAAATGTTGAGCTTAAGAAGATTTCCTTCACACATTAATTCCACGTAATTCATTCTCAGCTGATGATAGTATGAATGTTATTTGGTTTTGTTATTTAAAAAGCTAAAAAGATAACTATCGATAATCGGCCTCGGTGCAATCCCTGGCAAAATGGTTTATAAAAATAGGGATTTAGAACGTGGAAAATATAGCAAAGAAAAAGTTGACGAAAATCAATTCTATGTAATAATAATTAGATTACAAAAAATAACTTTTAATCTTCAAGTGGTTTTCCGAAATGAAGAGAATTATCAAATAATAGATTTCTCAGGCCACAAGAATTTGAAACTTGAATTAGCCACTTTTTTGAACAAATAAATTTCATTTCACACTGATTAACGACAGCTTTTAAACACTAGAATATAAAGAAAAAGTGTTTTGAAAACCTTACCATCAAAAACGCTTTGAAAACCTAACCTTTACCAACTTTTTTTGCTTTTCATAATAATCGACAACCGGAGCAGTTGCAGTTATGTAGGTATGAAGTCGCTTCTTAATCGTATCGATGTTATCATCTACACGTCCGCTAGAGCAATGAAAAAAGGATAGTTATTCCGGAAATAGCGGAATGATTCTAGCGCAAATCACACCATTTTCCAGTGATACAGAAATCTTCCACTTTATAGAAAAAATTAGGTAAAAAAGAAAACCTTGTTTCCGCTCTATGCAAGCAACGTTTGACCAAGGTATCTTCGCTGACATCAAAGAACAGAACCAATTCAGCTGGCTGAATCTGAAATTGAATTTTTAGATTAAAAATTCCAAACAGAAAAACCTACTAAAGCAAATCGAAAATAAAAATAATCGCAAATGCCGATGTTCCTTCAAATCTACGACCTCAGACAATTCGAATATTTTTATAAAGTTTCAATTATAAAGAAGTACATTTCATGCAAACTGATAAATCATCAAACATTGTTATCCATAAATTAATTAAATCTGTTCGTTGCAAAAACCGTACTTCCTTTCGGAGATTTATTTCATCATTAACTTTTCGAAAATTTGCTGGTATGAACAGAAACAAACTTCTATCGTTGTAAAAGGAAGTCACTAACTTCCTTTTCGAATTGTTCTCCTTGCTTTATTTCTCGTGGATAACCATCAATTAAGAAACCTTTCGAACCTTTTGCCACCGCTTGAACCATTGCTTCTTTAACCAAATCTAACACTATCTCCTGTAAAAGAGGCAAATTGATAGTAATTATATTAATAAATAGTACCTAGGGAAGGCTCTTCTGCATGTAGTTTATTTTTATATGACAGTAAGCATATACATATACATATATAATTTGAGAGGAACAATATATAAATCTTATCGGAATGAAAAAAATATTTACCAGAGGAACAAGTTCTCCATTTTGCATCATTTTATTGAGCTCTGTTCCACGTGGCGATCCCGATTTTACCTCAGCACGTAGCAAATCACCTGAGCTGAGATGTGTTAAGCCATATTTTGCTACAATCTTATCACATTGCGTTCCTTTGCCAGATCCAGGGCCACCTAAAAAACAAACTACTAGCTCACAAATAAAAAATATTTTAGGCATAGCCAATAATTACATTTCATCAATCTATTGAACATATTTACAAAACATTTAATACATGATATTTGATATTTCATTGTGCCAAAGTAAATTACTTGGGTTTAACGATATATTTGAGTGATTATAAATTTTCCAAATGATTTACTTTCATCCCTCTATGGATTAGATCATTCAGTATTATGTGAAAAATTCCTACTGCCTTTTTTCCTTTCAAACTTCCTTATTAATCAAGAAGTTATCAATTTTTCCAATTAGAAAAATATTTCATTCAAATTTACCAACGATAAAAAAGATTGGAACATTAGCTTTTTTCAGCGGTGTGAGATCAATATTTTTGCGTTCAATTGGAGCCTGAAATACCATATAATATAAAATAACTATAATATTAAATCTATCCTTCTAATATTTTGAATTCAATTTAAGAAAATAATAATTTAAAGAGAAAGAAAAAAAAATAACGAACCATTTAAATACGTATGAGAATTGATTTTGATAATCTTTCCACCTTATCGTACAGCTGCACTCGATTCAATGCTAGTCTTTGAAAATAAGGAAAGAGTTTTGAAGATGACGAGTTGGTTCAGAGAATCAGAATATAAACCAGCCTCAACTCACACTTGATATTTTAACTTTTCAAGCTTTGTATGTTTATCTGGTTGTATTAACCTGCAAAATAGCACACAAGTGTAATCGAGAAAAAAAAAGGAAAACAGCGATATCGAGAAAATAGAAACGTTTAACATAAATAAGATACATATTTCAATTATAACTTAGTGGAAAAGATAGAATGAATACAATTCAAAATTTATAAAATATGCTATAACAAAAATTTCGAAATATTTTTAGTTTTTTCTAAAATGATCAAAAAAGAAGAGAATGAAAAATTCAGACAAAAAAAAGATGGTAATAAGTAATTGTTTTGTAGAAATTACTGCATTGTAAGCATATTTTCAACGGGTCACAAGTAAAGTTATTATAGATAGAATAAGAAATTGTTTTGTAGAAATTACTGTGTTGTGATCATATTTTCAATGGATCATAAGTAAAGTTATTATAGATAGAATAAGAAATTGTTTTGTAGAAATTACTGCGTTGTGATCATATTTTCAATGGATCATAAGTAAAGTTATTATAGATAGAATAAGAAATTGTTTTGTAGAAATTACTGCGTTGTGATCATATTTTCAATGGATCATAAGTAAAGTTATTATAGATAGAATAAGAAATTGTTTTGTAGAAATTACTGCGTTGTGATCATATTTTCAATGGATCATAAGTAAAGTTATTATAGATAGAATAAGAAATTGTTTTGTAGAAATTACTGCGTTGTGATCATATTTTCAATGGATCATAAGTAAAGTTATTATAGATAGAATAAGAAATTGTTTTGTAGAAATTATTGCGTTGTGATCATATTTTCAATGGATCATAAGTAAAGTTATTATAGATAGAATAAGAAATTGTTTTGTAGAAATTACTGCGTTGTGATCATATTTTCAATGGATCATAAGTAAAGTTATTATAGATAGAATAAGAAATTGTTTTGTAGAAATTACTGCATTGTAATCATATTTTCAACGAATAACAAGTAAAATTACTATAGATATTATAAGTGTTAACAATATTATTCCATAATAGTAATAAACAATAACAATTCATATAAGTTATTTAAGAAATATAAAATATAAAATGTTATCATATTGATAATATACTAATAAGAATAGAAAAAACTAGTGATAATATATTATCGATTTTGGAATATAATTTATTATTTCGTTCTCGAAGTAAAATCGTTTTATCTAAGATGCAAAACATTGGAAATGAAAAATGGGCACACCGTAAAACTTAACAAAAATTTTGAAATTATACTAAATGTAAATTTTCACCTTTTCATATCTAATTCTCTCATTACAAGGAATAAATTATAATTATTGGATTGATAAGAAATAGAGAGAGAGAAGGGGAGAAAGAGAGAGGAACTGAGTATTCAAAATTGTTTAAATAATCAATCGTTGCAAAAGATGACTATTCGTATTTATTCGACGGTATGCCATTAATATTTTCTACGTTTGCTGTATAATTCATTCTAAGGAGTTTTTTGAAGGGAAAAGAAAAAAAGGAAAGAAAGAGAAGAGAGGAATAGTAAGAGAAAGGAAAGAGAAAAGAAAATAAAACGTTAGAGAAACTTTATATTTTAAAAACTTTAAATTTTTACAATTGATAAGTATAAAATAGGTAAAGTGTGAATTTCAATATTTTAAAAATATTCCTAACTCTTATACGACAACTGATATAGCATAAATTTTATTTAACAATTATCAATGCATCAATTATCAGTGCTCTTATATATTAGACTGTCACTATTGATAATTATAGGAATATATAACCTAAAAGGAGAGAAGAAAAGGGGAAGAACCACAGGAATTATCAATATTTCAGTATTATCGTAACTGAAAAATTCTAATTTCATTTTTTTCTTAAAACAAAACAAAAAATCATATCCTAAAAACATGGATACTTCGTAATAGTATAATATAAAGTATATACAGAGAAATGATATTGTATGCAATTATTTTAATTTTCAAAATATTATTTATTATAATTATTCAATTTTAATATATATATATATATATAAAAATGATCAATCATTTTCCAATAATAAGTTGAATATTCTGTTCGATATTTTTATTAAAATTTTTAATGAAATCACGATAGATTAAATCAGCTCCTTTAACTAATGGTATCAATAAATAAATGGTAATAATAATTTTAATCGACCAATATACTGTCCAATATTTTAGATAACGATGAAAAAATACATCCAATAATGCTAACCAACCAAAAACAATCCAATATCTGAATATTTGCATTATTTTTTTTCGTTGAAATAAATATGATAAGAGTCTTTCAAGAAATGATAAGATAGTGACAAGAAATGATAAGATATTGAATTTTCATATTTCAAGAATAATGACCAATTGTAAATTTTTGGAATTTCAAAAATTACTAAACCTTTAGAAATTTTTAAATCAGTGGAAATTAAGAGAAGTTTTTTTTTTAAGGCTTGAAATCTGTACCTTATATTACCTCATACCTTATATACCTTATACTTATAATCTGTACCTTATATTTTTATTTTTTGAAAATTATAAAATTGGTCAAAAAAAGTATTATTCCATTGTTGCTAATTTACGACAATTCTTAGAGAGATTTAGTGAAATTTAATTTCATGCAATCAATGCCAAAAGACTACTCTAATAATAAACTATAAAGAAATGCCATCTATAATACTAATGAAGCATCAAATGCATCAATCAATTATTAACGATCAATATAATTGATCCGTTCAATTCTAGTTATTCCATCTAAATCTATCAGTCTAAATAATTAGGACTACCTGAATTTCCAGCAAAAGATCAAGTATTCGCCATAGCAGATGTGATTGCATGAATAAAGTAACTAATAACACTACGGAACTTAACTATAAAGTAATTATTGGTCATATAAAATTGCCTATGATCTTTGCTCCTTTGAGATCATAAGATTATACACACACACACACACACACACACACACACACACACACACACACACACACACACACACACACACATACACATACACATACACAAACACACAGACACTACTCCCGGTTAATATTCAAGGTTTCTTTACTTCAAATTAATTAGAGCAAAGGAACAAATATGGTAAATTGTGATAATTCAAAATGCTTAACAGATAAATTACTGCTATTAAGAAATTAAGTAAAATAAGATAAAGAAGAATTCATTTACCTAAGCCAACTTCTACATGCATTAAGTCCACGATTTTCAAATGTAATATATGTTTTATACATAGGATATGCAATACCCTGAAAAGTTAAATAGATGAGTTAATGGAAAAAAATAAAAATTTCATGTTCTGAAAATTTTAATATCATCATAAAAAAGGAACTGAACTTTAAACAAAAGGAAGAATTTTATGAATACCATAATATAATATAGAAGTTTTGCCAAATCGCCACTTAGAATGTATAAAAAGTATGCTCCGATTAATATGTAAAATACTACCAAACGTGAAATGCCCAATTTATTCTCCACAAATCTCCAGCTTAAATAAACTTCATTAAGTTTAATGAAAACTTTAAAAAAATTATGATTATTTTCTACAACTTCTAGCTCTACTAAATCGATCAGAAAAAACTGGAAGTTTTTAAAAAGATCTGATAATTGTGTGAAGATTTCCAAAAGATCTGATAGTTATGTGAAGATCTCCAAAAGATCTGGTAGTTATATGAAAATCTCCATAAGATCTGGTAGTTATGTGAAGATCTCCAAAAGATCTGGTAGTTATATGAAGATCTCTAAAAGATCTAATAGTTATATGAAGATTTCTAAAAGATCTGGTAGTTATATGAAAATCTCCATAAGATCTGGTAATTATGTGAAGATTTCCAAAAGATCTGGTAGTTATATGAAAATCTTCTCCCCTCTATACTTCAATTTCTTCACTAAAAAAAAACAGTGCAACAAATGCATCATCTCGAACCAATCATTCAACAGATTTTTATCAAAGTAAAATATAAAAATTATAAAATTCTAAGATATGAAAATAACAAAATCGTGTTAATAGTTGTTGCATCGTATAAATGCATATACTTCCCAATCATTAAAGGTTACATCTATTAAAGTATCAAAATAAATTCGTCCATTTTTTTTCAAAAAATATTTAAATTTAATAGCTGCAAAATATCTGTTACCACTGATCGCATCGCCTATTATCGCTATCATAGAGATAATTGATCACAATTGTATGAATGTTATCAGGTGTTAAATCCCACCAATACTGTACCAAAGTATCATTTGATGCGCGCGTAACAATCATATTTTTCATTCCAAAAACTAGAATTTAAATTATTCCTTTGCAAAAAAAAGCAATATAAATCATGCAATTGAAATGATTTAAATTTTTCACAAATTATTTGAAGGATTATTTGATCGTTTAACACATTTAAAGCTCAGTATAATGAACAGATTATATGATTAATATGACTGCATGTACGGATCTTTTTCCTCTCAACTTTCAAAACATGAATTAAAATCATTTATAACCAATACTGCAATTTTAAAATAAAATTTCATATCAATTAGTCTTAATCTTCTGCAGCAATTAATCATCATCATCTGTTAGAGATGAAAAAAACCTGATTTAATTCTGTGTTAATAGGAAAACTAAACTATTCCAGTTTATTTCATTTTATCAGTTATCAGCTTTTCAACTTCTGCGAATTCGTTCTATTTATATATTAGTAATATCTTAATGCTATCAAACTCACACTGCAATATGAAATGCACCAAAAAAAACAGACTTTTCTCTCTCTTCCCTGTATCTTTTCTAGTTTTCAACGATGTAGAAATTTTCCTCTTGTCAGTAAAAATTAAAGATTAAAAGATTCCGAAAAAAAATTTTAGGCTACAAAAATAAGATGAAATTTTTTATACATGAAAGATCGGAACTGTAGTCGGAAAGAAACGAAATTGTCCGCTGGCTGCATTGAGGCTAAAAATTAGCAGATCCATTTTTGATAGACAACAAAGTTAAGTCGTAACTAATTTAAGGCATGAATAAAATGAAAAATAAATAAATAAACTATTTCAAGATATTTCATAAGTTCACAGTAAATAATTCTAAAAAAATTCACTAGAGATGAAGCTTAACTGGATCCTGTCGAAAGGAGAAAACTAAGTACGATGAAAGTAAAGTTTTATAATCAACAAAAAACTAATCAAGACTTTTTGTTATGAAAAACAGCCCAGTTAGACCATTTAATTGAGAAGAGTGAAAAAGATTATGGTATAGAAAATGGGAAATTAATGAAGCATAATTAATAAAGTTCTTCAAGAAATATCCCAAGGTGATAGTTTTTTCTGCTTTTGTAGATAAATATTTCTTAAAATTAACTTAACATTTCTATAGGAGAATAAACTAATACCAGAAATAGATTTAGGAATAATTTAATTTTGGATAAAAAAATTTTAATTAAACGAAAAGAAAGAACAAAATTTACACTGGCAGAACCATTAGATGTTTCACCCTGTAGCATGGTATCCGGTGACAATGATCGTCTGTAAGGACTGATAGAACTTGTTGTAAATGTTGATTTGCTTGAATGGTTTGCTGTTACCAGTTTCTTATCTAAATCACTTCTATCCATTTCAACTGCTGTTTTTAGTCTCTCATCGGAATCGGAAGATGGAAATGGTTGATGATGCTGGATGAGCTGCGAATTCTCAGATAATATTTTATCATGCCTTCCTCCGTCAGTTGTTGTAACTGATTCTTTCTTCGGCATCCCTCCACGTGGGCCAACACATTTTTTAGCGATCAGCTTCTGTAAACTATTATACTTGAAATGCTGTACCATATCAGTATACCATATCAGAACAGTATAATTTAATGATAACTCTAAGTTAATTATAACAATAAAAACCATCATATTACAGCATTAATTAATTGTCACTCTAAAAATAAATCGACCCTTCGTCTCGTAAATGATTGATTTCTCCTTTCTCGAAAATCTCCACAGGTATCAGCAAAAATGAACCACAGGAAATCTCACAACAGAGGTAAAATTTTCACAAAAATACCATCCAATTCAATTCCATCTTTTCTCTAATCAACAAAAAATACACACCTTCAACATTTCCATTATTTAATCTTTACCCTAACCTAATATCAAAACTCTGCAGCTTATATACGACCGCCACCAGTCAAATAAATTGAATGAATCAATCGGCAAAACAAATTTGTAAATTTAAAGAATAAAATTTACTTTTCGCGATAACAAATTGTTGAATGTGCTTCATTGATCAAATAATTTATTACAAGTCCAAGATGAAAAAGAGAAGAGCAAACATTCATTACCCGTATAGCTACAGAACAACAATCGATATTTGTATTGTCTGTTAATAATTTCAGTCATCATGATCAATTTCTCGAGGATATTATGATAATAACATCATCAAATCATTCTATTTAATCTGCTCCATCAATCGCAAAATTCAGTTATAAAAATTGTCAAAGAGTGATTGTATTATTTGCTGGGAAATATTTCAAACCACATGTTAATATTATTGTTTAAACCATTGCTGCTTTTACATCACGATGAAGTATAATTGAATCAGGCTATTACATAGTTACGGCAAATTTTTTACACTTCACTTTTCATTCCTTTAAATATGTTCGTGCAGACAATAGAAATGCATATCGAAATACACCAATACACACGCATCCAGGACTGCAAGTAGACAGCTGTTTGAATTAGGAAATTAATATTATAATATAACAACTTTCCATTATTAAAATAACACCTATGATTTGCATGATACAATCAAGAGCCTCGCATACAAAATTCAAACAAATTTTTTATCACGAAAATTAGACTTCATATTTCGCAATATTTTCGTAATATTCGGTATGTTGAGCCACTTTTCGATTAGCCGTTTGAGATATTAGATCTTCAAAACCATTTGAACGATTTACTCCATCCCATCGATAACCTGGCGCAATGTTGAAACGATTCGGTGGCCAACTTCCCTTATATTTTGGATATGCTTAAAAAAAACAATAATGACTTCCTGGAAATTTTCAGCAGTTTTAAAAACTGAATGCGATTATAAGAGACAAATACATTTTGATATAGCTGGAAACAAAGCTTAAAACTAATACATTTCAAGAATGAAATCAGTATTAAAAATTGCAACAAGAAAGTTTTTTGTTAAGGATCGGGATTGAAAATTAATATAGAAGCTGAGAATCTCTATCCCAAATGGTTTCCAAAAAATTAAATTCAAAACTCATACCAGTCCCACTTTTTATTTCTGCATTTTCCTTCTTCTTTTTTACGTATTTATACATCGGATCTTTCTCGTGCAATTGCTGAAAAATACTTCCATTTTATTCAAGATTATTCATACACGCTACTACTGGTTGATATTCGAGGTTCTTTTCATCATTATTTTGCTTTAAATTAACTGAGGGAACAAATATGGTGATATCAAAAGATAAGAAATAATACGGCTAAAAACCTCCAGCCTCCAGCATGGGCAATACAAAGTTATATACTATTATTACTAAGTAATAAAAGAGAAATAATTTGTACCGTCGTCATTTCATTTTTATTGTTTTACTGCGCATATCAAAATCTCCAGTATCCGCAGAAGAGGCTACAGCATTTCACCTCATATCAAGAAATAGACTACAGTGGTGTGAAGAGAGAAAATCGACAGGTAAACATTTTTCTATCATTAAAAATACCTTTTTCAAATGTTCATTCATTGCTTTATCGTCAGCATGACGTGTAAAATCTTCTTGTGCCACTCGAGCCATTTCATTTAATTTTTGAGTTCGCTAAAACAAAAAGCTTTTAAAATTTGACCAAGAACTGATTCTAACTAAGATTTGTAGCATTCGCAGTCATATTCGAATGCGATAATAGAAAAAATATATACAACGCAAACCTCTTCTAATTGTCGCAAGCCTTTGTTCCAAATTTTATACTTCTCCTCTAATTCTTGTTGCTTTTTAGCTTCACGTTCCTTCTTTTCACGTTCTTTACCAGTTAATTTGGCACGACGAATAACTGCTGCATTTTTACCACTTGTGTATTCGTCCCAATTCTTGAGTAACTTCAAATAGCCGCTATTTAACAATTTGAAAATTGAGATTTCAATTTCTGTTGAATTTCTTAATAAGTAAAAGAAACACAATGGAAACGAAAGAAAAAACGAAGCAAGCAATACCTAACAATATTTTTGACATCACTGAAATATTCTATTTAAACCGTCTATTCCAACCTTTCGCTAATAAATCTGTCACTTTCTAAACATAGTACAGACAGCACTAAACAAAATTTCAACGACTATAATCAAAATTCTTACTTTTGTTTCGCCGTCCTGAAGTCGTTTCATTTCTTCTCGATGGGATTCCAGTGTTCTAAGACCAGTGCTTTTTCCAATCATCGGTTTAACATCATCGTCATCGTCATTTGTTTGATTGCATTTACTATGATGTGACGTCTTACTATCATCAAAAGAATCTTTTCGTCCTTGATGACCTGCAAAGTGTATCATGTTCATAAACAGAAATTGCCGTGAAAATTTTGATTTATGAAGTTTATTGCTTTCGCAAACAAAGATTGTTGGAAAGGCTTATTTTTGGTGAAAGATGAGTTCATTCTTCCTGACATTGTAAGATAATAATCGAAGAGTATCAAAAGTAGGAATGATTAGACGTTTAATTTGGGAGCAGTAAATTACACTGAAATAGATTCCTTCCGAATTGGGAGATGCTTGGTGAGCATTATTTATAACAAATAGTTAATTGGTTATCTTGTAGAGGAACTGATGGTACAAAAAAACGATGACAAAGTCATTTGATAGAAAGATTAATGCTAAACACGAGGTCATTGGGTATGAATCATTAATGATATTCGTTCATAGTGGATAGACAATAATACTGATGGTTAATAAAGAATTACTTGAATGTATAATAAATGAAGCCGATAATAAAAAGGAAGTTATTTGATATCAATTATATATATTATTCTTAGAATAATGATAAAGATATTAAACAAGGGATATCAAATCATGTCTGAGAATATTTGAGGCAAAGGAATTCTCTAACATAAACAACAAGGACATATAGACACATCATTTATTCATACATTTTTATATTATGAAGTTATTTCGGTTTTCGACAGAAATTATTTACCCCCGTTCCCGCATAAATATAATGAAGCTAAACTCCAAGTCAATTTTCAATCGAACAACACAAGAGATATCAAAGTAACTTAGGAGTGCAGGCTGTGAATTTTTGTTAGGATTAGGTAAAAATTCAAAATTTATCGAATAGCAAATGCATCTTTTTTACAACTATTAAGATAGGTAAGGAAAATTATACTTACAGCAATATTACGAGTTATAACTATTTTCTTCATAGCAGTAATAAACCCTGCCCTATCTGAATAAAGTGTTAGTAAATCCAGGGTATTAGCATCTAGATCGAATTCTGACTACACATTTTCATACAAGACAGCACAATCCGACCGGCAAATATCGGGAATGTTTGACGAAATATCCTAAACAAATTGTGATTCAATACTTACCTTCACGACGTCTATGAAGTCTACTAGAACTTTTGTCTCGATCTTCTCCATAATGCTTTCGCCTTCGTTCAACGCTTTTGTCATATAGTGATGCATTAGAATCCCACTTATTTCCTTTATGTCGACAAGAGTCGACACTACTACTTCGCCTCCGTTTTTGATGTTCATAATCCCCAAATTCTTTTCTACGGTTTGAAATTCCATGATAATCATCGTGTTTACGTGGTGGAGAAAGATCTGAGTCAGAATTATTTGTCGGTTGTCTGCGTCTTGGAGGTGAAACATCCGAATCATCGTCGTTAAAATTTCGAGTCGCGTAATTCGTTGGTCTTCTTGGAGGCGAGGCGTCTGAATCAAGTGGTTCATCCTTTATTTTCTGAACTGGAAAAGAAATATTTGAGTCGGCCTTGGTCTGTTTTGCAATTTTTTGATCAATAGAGCAATCCTTATTCTTGACTGAAGCACTTTCCCATACTTTTGAACTGGTAGTCGGAAGAGATATTTCATCTGGTACAACTGAAAAAGATATCCACAGTTGGGGGAATATTTAATTTGACAAAATATATGTCCCTAGTATCATCCAATGAGACCATCCTTATAATTCGCATTGTAAAGAAGTTAACGAATCAATAGCTGAACGTTTTCGGTGTTCTAAGCAAAGTATCTATGGGGAACTGCGAATACTAGGACAAACTAAATCACCATCAAGTAAAATGAACCAAAGACAGTTTGAATAGACAAATCCCATGTTGCATAAAATTTGAAATATCACTGTCGATTGGAAATATTACTATCAAGACAGCAAAAACAAACCATTTTCATCCGATGAAGAATCATGTCGTTTTCTTGGTGAATTTATTTCTGCTGGAAAAATGAAAAAATTAAGTCTCAGATACAATAATGAAAAATGCCGTTGGAAAAAGCCTTATAACTTTTCTGAATAAATGGAAAAAAAAAGGCAATTTCATGCAAAACCTAAAAATGAATCGAAAAGGCAATGAAAACGCCAAGAAAAAAAAGCGATTACTTTTGATCTCGACAGCTTCAAATGCTGCAGGCTTGAACTTCGACAATGAATGTAGCTCTTTTACCTTTTCCAATACTTCAATCTTAAAATGAAGAATAATATTTACTGTGTATCTGACATATCAAATTATCCTTTTGATCTACAACGTTGAAGGGAATTTGCGTTTCCGTTCTTGTCAAAGGGAACTAGTAACATAATACACCAACCATTCATGACTGCAGAAGAATCTATAAAAGTCCTCTAGATTTAAAAATAAAGAGTCTAATTTATACATAAAGTTTTTCAGACAATTCAAAAATGGACGCCTACTCACGAATTACTTGCCGCACAAAAGCGAGTGAAAGACGTTATTTAATCTGCAATCTGCGGATCCAACTAACATTTTTGCTGCTATCATCATCTGAAGAAGTTTGCTCGATACATGCTGCAACATCAGCGAAAGCATCGTCTTCATAAATTTTCAATCTGAAAATTACTTCTTAAACGTTTTGTCGAGTAAAGTATACCTGAACTACATGAAATTAAGATTTAGTTCTAATCAAAGGATTGCATAACGATAAATATAATTCCTATTGATAAACTCGGAAAAAATCCCATAGATTTAGGATACTTTCAACAGCTCGGATAAAGTAATTATTGACTTTGTAAATAATAATTTACAATTACATCACTTCTCCGCAGTTAGAGAGACCACTGGGAATGAAAATAATTTTTTTGATTTTACCAACTAACGAATGAGAGGACTGAACCTTACCATTCTTCCCTCCTTACAGAAATCTAATAGATGGAAAATCAAACTTTTCCTTTGAACTAAAATCTGATTAAATTTTTTTTCCAAGACAACTTAATCTTAACATTTGCAAGATTTTTATCTGAAAGTAAACTACAACAAACCCAGTTTTCTTTCTTTTCTTCTTATGTTTCTTCGTTGATTTTTTGTCATCTCCGCCAAGGTATTTTTTGAGATATTCATCTCGTGCTTTCTTTGCAGCATCATCCATCATACTGAAATTCCTTATTACATTCGCAAAAACATCAGGAGGAAAACTAACAGTGTCGTATGTACAAAGAAAATAATAAAGATTAATAAAATGGTCTAAAAATCATGATTTATGGAAAAAAAAATAGGTAATGAAAATTCAAAGGTGCATGAAACCTTCAAGTTCACTTTATAAACCTTATATTTATAAAATTTCACACTATGTTTAAAATTACAATTCAATGAAATTGAACAGATATTTCAACAATCATGAAAACAGTAAAATAAACAAAGCATAATAATTTAAATTTATTAAAAATCCATTGTATTGGCAATACAACTGTTTACGATTTAATTATATAGATTATCTCCATTCACAATAATCTATTTAATTCATCAATTTATTATAAGTTTTAAAAACTATCCAGCTTCTTCTTTTAAATATTGCAATACACTGACACTTGAATTTTAATGTTAAAACTATGTTCAATGGACAGCAAATGGTGATGCTAACAGATGCCGCAGTGCAGCAAAAACAATTTAAGCAGTTCTTACCTTATCCACTCCAGATTCTCAATCCCTCAATAGTAAAAGATAAAGGATCAACATGAGCAAACAATAAACAATTCAAAACTAATGTCAATAAATCAACCTAAGAAGTTCGCAATCACAAGATGAAATATCACATGTGCAAAGATAAAGTCGGCGAAAGCACGTTCCGGAGAAATATGAGGAAAGAGTGGTTTATTTTCTGGATTAATTTGGATACGAAGGGATGCTGAAAAAAAACTTTTTAATTAATAGGTGTTTGAAGGACTTATTAGAAAAACAAGGAGAATAGAAAACTTCAGAAAAATACAACTAATTGAGAGGCATAATTCGCTGAACACAAATTCAACTTAGCTAATGGACATAGAAATAGGTAAATAAAAGAAAGACTTATAATTATATTTATTAATCAGCCTTCGTAAAATAAAAAGACAAACCTGCCAAGACAAAACAACCAACTGTCGATATAAAACCCGAGAGGAACGAATTAAACGGAAATGTCCCAATAAGGACGCAGTAAACAAACCTGCAAATATATTAATCGAATGAATACACTTGTGAAGCAAAGTATAACAGTAATGGATTAAAATAAACTGTCATTAAAGCGAAGCAATGCGATGTGTAAAAATAAACAAGTAGAAATAAAAGAAAGTATAAGATAATTCTCTAAATCAAATAGTAAACGAAAAATTTATGTAGATGGCGCTTGTAAAAGTCAGCAAATATGAAAATCAGTAAATCAGTAAATATGAAAATAAAATTGTATCACACTCACATTTCAAACAAAAATCAGGATAAAAGTACTGAAATTCAAATTTCTTTATTTAAAACGAAATAGTCGAATTTTGAAATCATGTGATAACTACTTTAATGCTATGCTAAATTTATAATCAACAGTGATATCTTAGTGTACAACAGATTGTAAATCCTTCATCATGTATACAGGACGTGGTATTCCAGCTTACTCATGTAAAAAGATGAGTTAAATTTGTCGGAAGCCTATGAATTTTCCTTAATAGTTAAAGAAATGCCTTATTTACCAAGTACTACATTTACGAAGTATATGTGGCTTCTCTTGACTCTATAAGCACAATGCCTTGCTTATCAAGAAAAATGTGAACACTCTTTAAAGATAAATAGGCATTGCCATTTGCAAGTTAAGTTTGAATTTATAGAAGTGACATTAAATGTTACTTACTGGATAACTCCAGTGATGAAGACGTAGAACATGTAGGCATCGATAAGTTTTAGCTTTTTGGACGTTGTCCGCTGGTAGTCATCGAAAAAATTGGTCAATACTGTGAATAATCTCATCGCCGATTACTGGAATTAACATAACATAAGGCTTTAACTTTTTTAAATATTCAATTACTTAGTATCATTCGTTTGCCCTTCAAGACATTACTATTTCTTTCCCGGAGAGAGAAAACATTTGGGATGGATACTGTTACCAATGATACTATTTTGCAGAAAATTGAACCCAGTAGAATAAGTACCGCTATTGTACATTGCAAAGGTCATAATTTGCCCAGCTGAAAAATGGTATCATATCATACGGCAATACGTCAGTATCATCAGTAACAGTTTTTGCATATCGAACTCAATGAACCTATCCGGACAGAAACCAAAACGAAAATAATGTTATGCCTGAAGAGAATCAGAGAAATGAGAATTTATGAAGCGAAGAATTTGCTACCGCAAAATTGAAAACATTTTCAAATACATTCACACCTTCTCACCTCCCTAACGCGCTAATTCATATGTGCACCTTTTTCACACACGCACCATCGGTATATCCTAATCGGACGGTATATTTTGGCATGGTACTGGTGACTTGACAACTTGTAGTGTGAATATCTGTGATTTTGCGTATCGTAGATTTAAAAGTCACAAGGTTCAAATTGCAAAACTGCAAGCTATATCGATCTTAACAAAATTTTGAGACCTTAAAGCGGGAATTAACAGGTCACAGATTTAGTAAGATAGAGGAACTTAATGAATGGTTTAGTAAGTCATTACATTGCAAATAAGACAGAGGAACTCGATGAATGATTCTTCATACATTGAGAAGGGGTGCTTCCTGCGTGTTTCTTACATCTATCTTTTCAGGGTTAGTAAATAATTCGGGAAGGGAAGCACTACCATGACTATAGTTATTATAGTCCTGCTTATCTTGATGCAGACTTCTGTTCTGGATTCAAGTCATCACGGACATAGTCATGATATCGAGGCACCACACATCAAATACACTCGTGAAGCTAATGAAAAAGTAATTTTTTAATCAAATTTCAACTCAATTTATAGATGAAATTCTCAGGGAATTTTCTTTCTTTTCTTTTTTATATGAAATTCACAATTAATTTAATATTTTATTTATATACTATTACTTTATGCTCGATTGTTTAAAATTTCACCATTAATATAACATAGAGATATAAAAGATTAAGTGAAAATTCTACGTACATTTACAATTATCAAATTGTATTTTCAGCATGACAGTCATGAACATTCCCATCATCATGATCATCATGATCATCATCATCACCATGATCATCATCATCATGAGCATTCGGAAAGCCATCGCCATACGCATGATCAACATTATTTTCATCAGAAGGAAGATCATTCACATCACTTCGGGGTTGATCCTTAAGTATCTTCTCTCCTTTTAGAATCCGGACCTGATTTTGCATACTCTGAATTGAATTATGCGGTATGCGACAGAGGATAAGCATATCATCCATTCATGATAAATAAGTCTAGCTGAATTTGGAAGTTAGATTTCATTTTAAAAGGTTGCATATGTAGTGATATGAAGTATATTTTTTATTATCGTTTCAGTATTCAATATGTTGATTTTTTTAAAAGTAGTTTTCTTTGAATTGAATTATGCGGTATGCGACGAATATTCATCATCCATATCATTCATTCATGATAAATATGAACATTTTTCTAGGAGATTGGTCATCGTCATCAACAGCGCATTAAAGCAAATCAGAAAAATTATAAGCCGTACGATCCAAATGGGTAAGTTTCTAAGTTTAATATTAGTTCTAATCATCGCTAAGCATCTTGTCCCTCTCCCAGACTTGAGTCTTAATCCTGTCGCATCATTGTATCGGATACTGTAATTAATGGCTTACGATGTCGATAACTACTGGTACATCAACCAAATGATGCTTCAAAAATCCTACATAGTGCTAAGAAACGAATCGATTTGGTTTTATTAGGATACATACATGCTGGAAAGTTTTATATCATATGGTTTCCCGCATATTTGAAGAATGATTTCCTATATGGACATTACAAAGTAACATTGGGAAATGGGTTTTCAAATACTAATCTTTCCTATACTTATGGACGATATAAGCGTTTGCGGCGTTTTCAGGTACTAACCTTTGCTATAGCATATGAATGATATAAGCGTTTGCGGTAATGTTGATATAGTATAATGTCAAAAACCTTGTACGAAATTAAAAATTTGTTTGACTTCACTAATTAATTTCTAAGTAAATTTTAAAAACTGAGCTTGTTTCGTAGAACTTCCATGTCAAGTAAATCTATTTTCTTTCCAGGATTCTATCCTTCCTGAATGATTTCCAAACACGTCTTTGGGTGTATAGCATTGGTTCAACACTGCTAATCAGCTTTATGCCATTTGTTTTACTGTCGCTAATACCTTTACAGGTGAAGGGTTATTGCATGTTGGATTTCTAGGATGTAACAAATTATGCTGATGATGTGTTAGTTCATTTCAGTGCTTGTGGAAAGCTTATATTGAATCCTCCTTTTCTGTTACAAAATCGTCAGATTTTTGAAAAAATTTAAATAGCTTGTGAAAATTTTGTTAAAAATGGGCTTTCATAAAGTTAAATTCAATAATAATCAGCAATTGTGTGTCCCCTATATCCATCAGACTAATAATTCAACGATTTGAGGCAAACACTGCAGAAAGTGAACCAACGCTAAAAATCCTTTTGAGTTTTGGTTCTGGTGGTTTATTGGGTGATGCATTTCTTCACCTGATTCCACATTCACAACATTCCGGACATCTACAAGTTTCCGGGCATTCACATGGGCCACATGACATGAGTGTTGGAAGTTATGTGCTAGCTGGTAAGAATCATTTTCGTCCGAATTTATTTTTAATTGCTTTTTCCTTTTGTATTTTGTGTTTTCATTATAAAATTCTGCCCGCAGATTTCTCATGAAGTCTAAGAATGTTAACTAACTTGTAGTGTGAAGATCACGAAAGAAACTTCCTGTACGTTGGTGTTTTTAACTCGTCATATGAAAAGACATTTTAAACCGGATTTAAACTTGCAAAAAATTCACTATTTCCAGGAATATTAACATTTCTGACAGTGGAGAAGCTTGTACGCATTCTACGAAGTAAAAAGATGATTCATTCTCATTCACATAATGGCTTATCGGATGATAAAAAGATTACAAAGCGAAGTAAAGGTGCCGAATCTAGTAAAGAAAAGAAATCGGATGTTTCATCAACGGAAGAAGTAAGTAATGGATGACATTTTTGATGCTTTATTTCAATGAATATTGGAATTGTTTTACCAAAGAAAGTTATGTCGTTTTGAAAGAAACAATATAAACATTTGCTTATTCGATTTAGTCAAATTACCATGATTTGCTCAAAAACTTCCAATGAATTTCGGTTTTTTTGAATACTTAGCAATAAAAATCAATATGTTGCAGAGTTTGCATAATAGTTCCGATGAAGAGCACAAGCATTTAACGGCAAAAACAAACGATGAAACAGGATTTAAAGTGGCAGCATATTTAAATATGGCTGCAGATTTTTCTCATAATTTTACTGATGGTTTAGCAATTGGTGCATCATTTCTCGCAGGTACCGCAGTTGGTGTTGTAACGATGATTACTGTGCTCGTACACGAGATACCGCACGAGATCGGAGATTTTGCTATCCTTGTACAATCTGGTTTCACCAAGAAAAGGGTCACATTTTTTTCTTGTTGTAATTATTTTCACTGTTGAATCCTAAAAATGCTAAAATAAATGAACGTCATTTCGGATTCATGATCAATTTTTCCTGCAGTGTAAAATATAGAGGTAATGTTGCTTTTTAGTTTTACGAAGTTATTAAGCTGTTATAAAATTATATTGTTTATTATCCAATGTTTCATACTGTCAAATAAACCTTCTGTTATGTTTTGGCTATTACAGGCTATGTTTATTCAACTTCTAACAGCCTTGGGTGCTCTTGCTGGTTGCTCCTTAGCGTTATGTTCAGCAAATACTGACGAATTATCTAATACAGCTTCTTCAAGTTGGGTAGGTGACTGCATTTTGGCATTTCATTAGTTACTTTTAAAAATCCAATGAGGCCGTTTATGATTTCGCAACCTATTGCTTAATAACTGGTAGATTAAATGGAAGAAAAAAAATTGCTTTTCAATGTATCATATTTTATATCATACATGCAGCCGTAATCACGTAGCTTTATGTTAAATATATGAACAGCCCTTGTTATCTTTGTTTATAAGAAGAGCGACCGAGCAAGCTACATTTTTTTACTGCATTTCTTATTTAACACCCATAAATTTTATCATTCGTGAATTACTTTGGGAAAAGTTCATATTAGCTCGAGAACTTTCTGTTTTTATTTGAATCAGGTTATTTCTTCTACTTTCAGATATTACCTTTCACTGCCGGTGGATTTATCTATATTGCCACTGTAACAGTCATTCCGAAACTTCTTGAAAATACTTCCACTTGGCAAAGCATCAAAGAAGTAGTGGCCTTGTTAATGGGAATAATACTGATGTTTATCATTGCTATTTATGAATGAATTAGTTTATTTATATGTCATATCACCTCTTAAAAACATTTAAGTTATGTACCTTTTTTCTTTGTGTTATTTTTCTTTTATATTGTTCATAATTATGCTTCTTTATTTGAATTCAGTATCGCTTTGTTGCTTCCTTATACCATTGTTGCTTATAGGGAATCAGGTTAAATTAATTAAGCTATATAAGTTGGATAGGAAATGCTTTTTAGAGTTCATCACAGATTTACTTGCAGTGGACACTGAGCGAAAGAGAAATGATGACTTGTTAAGTGCTATCTCTATGCACTTGCGGTTCATATAATTTAAATATTTTTTTCTATAAATAATTTTAAATTTAATAAAGGTAAGATTTTGTAATGAATTTCAAATATTAATGGAGTTGAATAAATGATTTGAAATTTTTACACAGTGCTGAGGTTGAAACTTTTAAAAGTTTGGAACTTTCAAAATTCTTCACATGCTGAGTTTGAAACTGTGCGAAGCATGAAACTTAAAAAGTAGGTCTTTCTGTTTTTATTTGAATCAGGTTATAACATTAATCGTTATGTATCAGGTTCAACGCTCTAATATTTCACAGTGCTGCGCCGTAAGATTTTTTTAGCCTCGTTGAAGAATGTGGGTTGTAGTCAAGAATTTGAATATTCGGAAGAACGGAAAGGGTGTCGAGCTTTTCTTTATGTTTTTGTTTTTTATAATGTTTTAACTTTCTGATATCTCTTCGGCATGTAGCATTTTTAAATTCATTTTTTAAGGTTGAGGCTGTTTAAATCAGAATGGATGCCTTTTTGAATCGACCAAAAAAACAGAATAACGCTTCGCCATTATTAATGGAAATTCCCTGGGTTGAAAAATAGTATGTTTCGAGTCTTATTTTAAAGTATAAGAGTGCTAAATTCCGATCCTGAAATTTCAGTAATTTAAATAAGATCATGTCCATTGCAGACGCTGCTACTTTTTCTTTATTTTTTTTCATACCACCTCTCTAATTTATTATCTAATTATTTCATGTGATTTATCCAGTTCAAAATATTTTCCATTTTTGTAATTGGCGAAAAATTTTGAAGTTGTATAACTTGCTTATTTCAGTCGTCCACGGAAAGTTGAGGAAGTGGCTTTTCAAAATGAGGTTGTATCGGTGCTGAAAAAAGTACTTGAAGGAGCCGATGTAAGCTTTTTTTATAGTTCACAAATTTCCGTATATTACCGTATATTACAGTTAGTTCAGTTAGCTCAAATCCTTTTAATAGTAACAAAAGAATATTTTGCGTTAAAATAAACAAGGAATCAAACAGAACTCATTAGAATTGTATTCAAGTTTTTTTCTTATTATGCATGTTGTATCATTATAATAAAATTTAAGCACACATAATTACTATTTTATACTTTTCAGTTACCAAATTTACTATTTTACGGGCCACCAGGAACAGGTAAAACATCGGCAGCTATTGCATTATGCCGACAATTATTCCGTAATAATGACACATATCGTGACAGAGTTTTGGAAATGAATGCATCCGATGAACGAGGCATTAACATCGTCCGCAGCAAAGTTTATTTTGTTTCATAATTTTGATTTTGCTCTGCTACTTTGTAAATGTCGATACAAATCAGGATTTTAAATTTTAAGCAAAATTCATTTCTTATACTTACATAATTAGGATTTGGTAAAATGATATATAATTTGCTGATCGTTACGCTAAGCCTCTTTTGTAAATGCTCAGAGCTTACAGTTAATTAATCATAAATTTATTTTCAACTTCTATAGATAAAGGAATTTGCTCGACGAGCTGTTTCATCACACTTACCGGACGGAAGTCCTGTTGTGGGATTAAAGGTTTCTGCTATCTTTTATTTAAGTTTCTAATTTCAAATGCAGCAGATTAGTCTTGCGAACAATAGGGGAAATGGAATTCTATCTGAATCTAAGTTTATCGTCGACTCATGTGCTGGTTTAATAAATCAATAAGGGAAGAATTGGATTTAGCATAATTCAGTGTTATAATTCAATTTTGACAATCTACCTACTTCGCGTGTTTAATATGTTCCATTCCGAAGCATATATATGTATATATTCCACTTTTTCAAGAGTACTCGATGAGCTTTTATATTACGATGTCTACGAAAAAGATATAAGTCAAAATCTGACCAACATACACTTTTAAGATTTTTTTTGGTAAGTTAAAGCATAAATTTATATTTAATAGATCTTTTGATTAGGTGGTTATCCTGGATGAAGCAGATGCAATGACTACTCCTGCTCAAGCAGCTTTAAGACGAACGATGGAAAAAGAATCACGCACTACTCGTTTTTTCTTGATCTGTAATTATATCACACGAATAATAGATCCGCTAACTTCCCGCTGTGCCAAATTTCGTTTCAAGTCAATTTCATCGGAAAGTCAGAGGGAAAGGTTGTCAAGAGCTAGTGTTTTCTATCATATAGGCTATCATAGATAATTTCATTGTTTTCCATAATCACTGTGTTTTATGTTCACTTATTACACTATGTACCGCTTATAATTAAGATTGACATAAGATGTCGAAATTTTGGAATATAAAATGGATTTAGTTGAACTTACTCAGCTCTTGCAGTGAATATTTTTTAATTACATTCAATTATCATATAATTAAATTCTACGTTATTTTCTATTATGAATTTACCAAGTGAAAGTTGAGAGATCAGAGATAGTGAAGTTTTTCGTGGTTCATAATCTTATCGTAATTGAATAGTTTTTCTCTAATGATTCAATTTTACATAGTTTTAATTTTAGAATTCACTTTTATGAATAATGACAACACATAGATTACAACAAAATTAAATAAATTAACACTATGCAGACTTGAATGGATTTGCCAGAATGAGAATATTGAGTTTGATCCACTAGCGATCAGTGAATTAATCGACTTATGTGATGGTGATATGCGAAAGAGTGTCACCGCATTGCAGGTAAAATAATTGTTTATTGATATCCAATGAATAAACCGTTTGAATCTCACAGGACTGCTGTATCTTTTAGATCAAAATTTAGTCAAGGAAAAAGGATGAAACTTTGAAGTGGGGAGGGAATATCTGGAACAAATGGCCGAAAATTTTTCGAAGCAAATTGATTGAATTCTCAAAAATTTTATTCTTTTAACATTTAATTTAGTTTCATAAGAAAATTAGTTCCAATTATATATAATTAGATAAAATTAGATACATAAAAAATACATTATCTTAATTTCAGACAATATCATCATGTCATAAAAAATTAGTTCCCACTGATGTACAACAGTTTCTTGGGGCTGTACCGAATGATGTGGTGGAGCAATTTCAAGCTGCATGCAGATCTTCTGATCATAATCAGTTGTATGAATGTGTAGAAAGTATCAGACGAGAAGGTTATGGAGTTTATCAATTGTTGAAGCAATTTTTCTTCGTATGCTTACAACTGGAAGATCTTAGCGACTTGAACAAAGCTACAATATGCGAAAAAATTGGATTAAGTTTTATTTTTCTTTTTTTTTCTCATCAGCTGTTTACAAATTTTGCTATGGAAGCGACAACAGTGTGGAACAAATTTTATTCAGTGTCTGAAGACGATAATAAAGTCTAACGCTTCAATTGAAACTTTGCGTCCATCAAACTACTCATTTAATAAATTATTGCTGTACCACTCGGTGCATGAACTTCCATATGGTCACGGTGTTTGACCTTGGATAAGCCTCTTTAAAAAAATTTGTTTCCACTTATCAGATAATCACATTCAGTTTATCTTTTTATTAAGCTATTGGTTATTGTCTCAAACTAATGTCTTGTTCAGGAGTGTGAAATGCGTATTCTGGATGGTGCAAATGAGTTTCTACAACTGCTGGATTTTGGGACGGTTGTAATGGAGCAGTTCAAAACTTCACTTTAAAATATTTTCATGCCTTTTACCGCACGATCTCATAAACCATTCGTTTTAACAAAGAGAAATAGCGATTTGTGTGTTAAGCACATTTCCAAGTTCTTATCATGCCCTGTTCATTTGATCAATTTTGCATTCCTCCTAATGTTAATTTTGTTATCACTATTGAATTCAATCAGTTCTGTTTATCAGTTAACACTAAAATTTTTGAAATCAACTAGGAGCTATGAAATGTGGTGTTTCAAAGACGTTGTGCAATATTACTGCTTTCAATTTTATCATGACCGGAGAATAGCTAAAATTCGGTTTTACTTTTTTATTTTGAAGTTTTAATCAAGTTAACATTGTAACAAGTTAATGCATTTTATCGGTCTGCTACTGATATTTCAGTTATATATACAATTAAAGTCGCGAATCAAGTGAATTAACGTTTGAAGAAGCCATCGTTCTCTTCACTTTTTTTCAGGATTTATATTCACTGAAATGAAACGATATCTAAAAATATGTTATGGACTTTTGTTTTGGCATTTTTCAGTTAAAAATTCAAAGATATATCACTTCCGGAAATTTCATCATCTACAACAGCTATAAAAAATCATAACTTTTTTGCTATTTAAATTTTGGATGGATTAACTTTCATGGAGCATAATTTTTTTCCAAACGCTAATTTCATCTTAAATAATAATTGTTCCGGAAATTTGATTAAAATTCATGTGGAGTCTGATTGAATTGTTCGCTGCTCTGTAGCAACCATTGCATCTTCCACACTGAAATAATTGAAAATGCTTTTTAAAACAAACCTATAAAATGTGCTAGCAAGAGGTGAAAAAACGAGTTGAAGATTTTAGAAATCATTCAAAATACATTTGTGGAGATGTGGGATGTGGGAGGTTTCAGGATCGAATAAAATTGCTTATTTCTTTTACTGATTAATTTAACGGTTTCAGATTGATGCAGTAGGGATTCAGATTCTCTGAATTACATATGGGGAAAAAAAAATCAGGATTTCATCTTCAATTTAATCTTATTAAATTTTTAAAATGTAGCAAGTAAGAATAAAATAAAACCTAGTTAAAACAGATGTTGGAAAAATCATGCCATCAATACTGTCACCACTGGGACTTTTTGGAGTGCTACACGGATTAGTTGATGATCGTCCACTACTATTATTATGGCTAGTTCGATTCCTCTTACTACCCTGACATTTCTTTTGACGTGCCCTCGAATTCTGCAATTTACCAATAAATGATAAATGATAGGATGATAATGATCTTATCAGAAGGCAAAAATAAAAAGCAATAGAAAAATCAGAAACAAATATATTTAAATCAAATTTGAAAATTAACAATTCACATTCTTTGCTATAATAAGAAAAAACGAATAGCCCAAGAATGATTTCTTTACCTGAAACCAAACTTGTGTAACACGTTTACTTAAACCAGTCATTGCAGCAATTCGTTCTAAATCAGCACCATCCGGATTACTATCAATCTGGAAATGTGTTTGTAAAACGGTTAATTGTTCTTCCGCAAATGTCGTTCGTACACGTTTTGTTTTTGCTTTTTGTTGTCCTGAAATAATTAATAATAACAATAATTAATTCATACAAATTTTATCAAAACAAAAACGAAGTATAATTAACAGGAAAAGTTTAGATTATATAATTAACAGGAAAGTTTAAATATAATTAACAGGAAAGCTTAAATTATTTCAATTAATTGCATACCACATTCTCCTTCAATTAATTCCATATAATGTTGCTTGCAAAGTAGTCGACAATCTTGCAATGCAAATTCTTCTCCTGTACTTAATTGCCGTTTGCATTGATCGCATGCAAAACATGCAAGATGATAAACAAAATTTCGTGCTCGTCTAACCCAATCAGTTGCATGAATTAAACGTTGACATGATGAACATTTTGTTCCAAATCGTCTGAAATAATTTTTAAGCTAAATTTAATATAATTAATAAATGATAATTTAATTTATTAATTATTTAAATATAGCAGATTAGAATAATTTATATTTATCAAACAATATAGTGGCATTTTTTTCTCGATTTAAAATTAATCAATTAATTTATGTTTTTAAGTAGTAGTAGTAGCCATGTTTTTTGTTTTTATTATAATTATAATAGAAATTATAGATAAGGTATAATTTCACAAATAATTAGAATAATTAACACTTAGATTATCAATATGCTACCATCTATAAATATATTACGATAAAACATTATTGATTATTTGATAAGCAATTAATTAAAAACCGATGAATTCTGGTTATACACTAAGAAGTAATCAGTATCACAAAAAACACAGAGTTAACGAATACCGTAGCAAAAGCTACACTAATTAATTAATTATCAGAGAGAGTAATTGAATACTTAATACTTAAATATTACTCTAATTTTGCAACATTTAAATATCAAATATCATCATTTGCTGATGCTTCATATGGATTGAAATGAAAATAAAATAGTCTTAGCAAATATTTTGTTGCGATAATATTTGTTCGAATTATATTCAAATTCATGAAAATGAAATTGAATATAAAACTTTCACTAATTAATTTCTATTTAAGGCATACATGAGTAGTTGAAGTATTTAAGTATATATGAATGGTTGAAATATTTAAGTATTTAAGTATACATGAATAGTTGAAGTATTTAAGTATTTAAGTAAACATGAATAATTAAATTAATATAATTTTGAATAAAAATTGTAATAAATAACAATCATTTTATAACTTGAAAAAAGGCATGAATTAAGTTTATATTTTTGAAAACTTTAACTATGATCAGCATTTTGCAATAATTTCCTACAAAATCATTAATAATAAAATTTTGTGAAATTTCTAATTACTAATTAATAAATGAAATTTCTAATTAATAATTGATAAATGCAAACTTTTGATTTAGCAAAATTTTATGTTGTAATTTTCGTATTAATTGAAATTGCAAATTTTGTGATAAATTTTATTTAAAATTTAATTTACATCTATTATTAGGTTAAATGATCGAGGAAAATGGGCGGAAAAGGAGGAGAAAGAGGAGGACAAAATGTCGTAGTTAGAAATTAACAATAAGCTCGTTACATCATTGTAATCTTTGGTTGTATTAAATTATATTCCTATTCTGGGAAGCTTGAGAGGATGATTGGGCAGATGTCCTATAAAGTAATCCAGATTTATACCTCTTACTACTACTACTACTATTACTACTACTACTGTTACTATTACTATTACAACTAATATTATTACTACTACTACTACTATTATTATTTAAATCTGAACAGACTGTAATCAGGAATGGAAAACAATAAGCAGCAACGTTTTACGTTTATGCATGTTATTTATCGATTAATAAATCAATTGGATATCACTAATTAATTTATTAGTTAGGCAAATTGAGAATAAGCATAAAAATTGATAAGAAATATTGGAAGATTTTATTATCAAAATGATGAATGAAATTTAAAAGAAATTATGATAAATTATAAATGAGTAATTAAAAAGTTTAATTTACTTAAATTTTTCAGTTATTTTTGATTATATAATTGATAATTGATAAATTACATAATTGATAATTTAACATCCTAAAGAAGATATATAATTTTAATTAATTTCAGGATTAATTAAATAATAGAAATAAAAATTTTAGCCTTTTGTTTTTGCTGCTCAAATAATAAATGATAAAATAAAATGAAAATAATTTTAGTAATAGAATTATACAAAATATTGATTTTTGTTTAATTGTTGTTGTTATGTTTTCATTAAGAAATTTGAAATTCTAAAAATATTTTTACATGTTAAATTTTGAAATGCCTAGAATATCAACAATTGCAACAACAAAAACAACAATACAGCAACAACGACAACAACAACAGCAATAATGACAGTGTCATCACTATCATCACCACCACCACCAACAACAACAGCAACAACACTGATAGCAACAACAATATGACAACAACAAAAATAACAACAACAAAGACAAAAAATCATTTCTAATATTTTTGAGATACATTTGATAGGACAACAATAAATAATAACTCACCATCACCACCACTACCACTACCACCACCATCACCATCATCAACCATACCACCATCATCAATATTTTTGAGATACATTTGATATAACAACAATAAATAACTCATCACCACCATCACCATCACTAATAATAACAACATCACGACAACAGCAACAACAAGAACAAAAAATCATTTCCAATATTTTTGAGATACATTTGATAGAATAACAATAAATAATAACTCACTATCACTACCACTACCACCACAACCACAATCAACAGCAACAACAACAGCAACAACAGCAACACCATCAACAACAACACAAAAACATTACAACAAAGACAAAAAATCATTTCCAATATTTTTGAGATACATTTGATAGAATAACAATAAATAATAACTCACTATCACTACCACTACCACCACAACCACAATCAACAGCAACAACAACAGCAACAACAGCAACACCATCAACAACAACACAAAAACATTACAACAAAGACAAAAAATCATTTCCAATATTTTTGAGATACATTTGATAGAATAGCAATAAATAATAACTTACTGTCACCGTCACCACCATCAATAACAACAACAACAACAATAATACTAATAACAACAACAACAATAACACTAATAACAACAACAACAACAACACAACAACAACAACAACAACAAAATCATTTTTAATATTTTAGAGATATTTTACAATTGTGAAAGAGAATAACTTTAAAATAATAAGTAAGGAAAAAAGAAAAATAAAATAATTAACTAACCTGTTGTAGCATTGTATGCAAAAGAAATGATTATCTTTAACAAAACATGACGAATATTGTTCCAACAATATCGAACATTGCGAACATTTCAAGCAATTAATATGCCAAAATCGTGAATTAACAGTAAGTAATGTTCGATCTAAGATGAATTCTGAACACAATGAGCATATTTCCACTTTGAACTAAAATTAAATAATATCAATTTAATTAATTAATTTTTTTTTGTTTTAACTCAAAATTAATAGAGTTTAAAAAATTGGAATTTTTGCATAAAATAATTTTTTAATAAGTAAAATTTGCATAGTTGAAAAATTTTAATATGAATTATTTATAATTAATTAAATTTTTAGAATAGTTTTAAATTCTTGCATAACTTTTTTTGTAATAAATAAATTTAGAAGAAATTAGATTTTGTGTAAATAATTTTATAATAAACTAAATTTTAAAAATTTCAAAAATTTTTTTTCAATTAATTTTATTTGTATGATTTATACTTTGTATGATATGCTACGGTATAAATTGGTACTAATACTCTGTATGATATTTTACGGTATAAATTGGTACCGTATGATTTTTAGAATCTTAATAACTTCGAAATTATCATATGTACACAAAACTTACAAAGTAATTTTATAATATTTTGAAAAAAAATTAAGCACTAATTAATAAACTTTTAAACTTAAAAAATTTTATGATAAAATTTAAAAGCTTATACAATGAATAACAAATATATTATTATCTCTTTTAACTCGCTATCACCCTAACTATCTCTTTATCACCTTTTATGCGATTCTAATTCTTTATCACCTTTCATGCAATTCTAATTTGCTTATCAAATCATTCAAGTTAACTAATTTTTGTAAGGAAAAAAATTATTTCAATTTTTGAAATTTTTAGCCTTAACTAATATTTACCATTAAAATTTGATTCCGTAAATTTAGTCATACTGTATTCTTACGTGCTATTTATCAGTAGAAAATGATGATGTTTCTTTTTCATTAATTAATTTAAATCATACCTAAAATATTAATAAAAATTTTTTAGTCAAGTAAGTACGAGGATGAAATTATCAAATCCTAAAAATAAGCAAATAAAATTTGGAATGGATGAATATATATGATAACGAATTTTTCTTTTTTTGATTTGCATCATTTTAAAAGTTTTTGTTGTATACGTTGAACGAAAAGATTATGAAAAAAGAAGAGGGTAAAGAAGAAGGAAAAGAAAGAAAAATGCGAAAAATAAAACACCTTTGAATTTCGTTGCGGAAAATTTTGTTCATTAGTTGTTGTTGTTGCTGTTGTTGTTGTTGCACAACTGCAGTTGCTATTATTGCTACTACCATTAACGCCATCATTTCCACTTCTATTACTATTACTACTATTATTATTGGTAATAACCATTGTTGTATTGGTATGATCCGTTTGTAATGAAGATGTTGTTAATGTTCCAACAACTGCGCAAACATTATTTTCCGCATTCTGTAATGGTAATGTCCGCCGAAACTGTTGTTGTTGTTGATGACATTGTTGATGATGATGATGATTGATACCGTTTAAATTATTTTTTGTTTCACTGCTTGTTTCAGCTACTACTGAAATTACTTGTGATGTTACGGTAGTAGTTAAATCAAGTGATAAATTTGGTATTGTTTGATGATCAAGTAATCCGGTTGAAGTAGTATTACTGTAACTGGGAAATTCATTCATATTGAGTGTTGTTGATCGACCAAGTGATACGAATGTACCACTATTATTGACTAATGATGATGTAGATGTGCTAAAATTACTATTTTCCGAAATTCCTGATGTATCATTGGTATCAGAAAGTACCGGTAGAAGATCATTAGCAGTAGCAATATTAGGAGGATTATAATTAATAGATTTCTCGTATAATCGATGATGAATTTCCATTTTTGGTAATAATTTTCGTAATACGATACAAATATTTTTATCGAAAGAGGTAAATTAGCTATTTACCTCTTCAATATTTCAGCAAATAATTGTAATATATAATAGTAATAACAATAGTAACAATAATTAGTATGCAATAATAATAATGATTGGCGAAAATGAATAATAATAGTAATAACAATAGTAATAATAATAATAGTGATAATCAGTGTTGTTCCAATAAATGCAAATTTTTTTTTTCACAATTCTGTTACCATTAATGAGGTCCGATAAAGTGAAGAAGTTTTACGGAAGAGGAAGAAGAAGAAGAATGTGAAAGGTTAAATTTGCGACAAATTGTTTAAGACAGTTTTGGGAACATTCCCATATTCATAAATGAAAAAATTAAATAGATCGGAAAGGATTAGGAATAGATTGTGATTGCAATGGCATTCTATCAAATGGGTTAAAAGTAAAAATAAGCATGAAGTTGAAAGAGTTAGTTAGTTAGGGCCTTTTTCATTTTGCAATCAACGATAATGCTGATGATGTTGATTCTGATGCTGCTGCTGCTGCTGCTGCTGTTGATGCTAATGCTGCCGATGATGATGATGATGATGATGATGCTGATGCTGTTGATGATACTGATAATGATGATAATGATATTTAAATGGGAAAAAAGGAAGAGGATAAAGATGAAGCGTTTTTAACCCCTTTTTTTAATATTTAACTTAAAGCTTGTAAAACGCTTATTGGTGAAGAATTGAAGTGAGCCTTAACGAAGCACATTCTTCAAGCTTTGATAATTGTAACAATTCTTGGCCATGGAAAGCCTAAACGATGTAGCAGCTTCTTCATCCATCCATCCATCCATCCAATCTCTATTCATTGAAACATCATTTACAAAATCCTCCCATCTCCTTTACCATTCCTCTCTCCTCTTCCTCCTCTTCCTCCTCCTCCTCCTTCATCTTTCCTTTTCCTTCCTGTTTTCCTTTTCCACTTAAATCACCGTAATCAGTCTAACATTTGATTTATAATAATATTTTCATGAATTGATTTCATTTATTTAAATTCATTTATTTACCATATATATATGTTTAGTTTATCATTTTTCCTCATTCTGTTTCTATTCCCTAAAGAACCAACCTCCTGAAAGCTTTCATCAACAATGAAGCATAAGATAGCACACATCCTATTTGTCTATCGTTATAACAACCTACCGTATCCTTTCTTATTCTTTGCTCAATCATTTCGATTTATTTCTACTACTATTATAAATTATTATTAATATTATCATCATCATCATCATCTATATCATGCTATTTATCATGATTTTCTATCGTTAGTTTCAATCATCGTCCTTTTCTTTTAAGAATTTAAAATGAGAAAAATGAAAAACATAAAAAGTTTTTATCAAACTAAATTGTCATTAATACTAATTACTATCATTGTAAGTGTGCTAAAATCAAAAATTACAAATGTTATTTACCGTAGTATTATCTATAAATAATTCATTCATTTACCATAATTATTTATAAACATTCATATATATGTATATGCTCGTAAAAAATTATTTATTATCAAATTATTTTTTTATTTTATATTTTAAATTAATCATTTAATTTTTCATTCGTAGCATTTATTTAATTAATTTGTTTCGTTTAAAGTACCATCAACAATTTTCCTTTCTTTATTTTCTTTAAATCGAAACTCTTTCCGTTGATAATTTTATTTTGCAAATAAACTTATCAGTTCAATAATTTATCAGAAAAGTAATACCTACAGCAGGTGAAAAATAACAAAAGCACAATAAGCACTACAATAACTAATTAGTAAATTGATTAATTATTTCAATTGCATCATTTGTTTCTTCATTTTTTCAATAATAATTAATACATCAAATTACCATCACAATAAGCCAATAATAGCGATAACAATAATACAGTAATAATTGTTGTGCAATAGGTAACAATAGCCATTAAAATAAATCAGTAATAGTCACTACAATAAATCAATTTTAGCGTAACAATTCAATAAATCAATATTAGCTACTACAATAATATAATAGTTGTTAATAATAGTAAATCAGTAACAATTCAATAAATCAATATTAGCTACTACAATAATATAATAATATAGCTGTTAATAATAGTAAATCAGTACCAATTCAATAAATCAATAATAACTGCTACAATAATATAATAGTTATTAATAATAATAAATCAGTAACAATTTATCATAGCAAACAAATTTATCATAGTAAGGTAACAATTTATCAGTATCGCTACAAACATTTTAAGGACACATTAATTTTGTTCGTTTGATAGAAAGCATTAAATTAGATTATAGGTAAGCTAATTTCACGCTAATTAATTGCATCATTAATTAATTATATCGTTGTTACAGTTCAGAACGATTTGTTATTCTTATTTTCCTCCTAAATGTTTTTGGCAAAATGTTTATTATTTCATTCCATTATTTCTTCTCTTATAAAGTTATATAAAATTGAACAAATAAATCAATAAAATAATAAACAGTAAACAAAAAGATTTATTAAAATAAACAATAAACAAAAAGGTTTATTTTCATCATTCATTTCATTTTGATTTTAATTACAACTTTATTATCTCAAATGCATCACTTGTGCAAATCAACTTACTTATCAGTACTTATCAGCACTGATATCCACCTTATCTTGGCTCTATTGAGAAAAAAGCATTATTAACAATGAATTTAACTTCTAGATTGTAATACATAGTAGTGATAATTATTTGAAGGAATTAATTGCCATTACTATTATCTTATCGCAATCATTCGTGTCGCAAATTAGAATTTTTATTATTCATTTTCATGATTAATCCGTAATTTCAGAATTACACAGTGATAACAAACTGAGGAAAAATGTGAAACATTATTGGAGTAATGCTGAAGCACAATATTTCAACAAGAAAACAACAATTCAAACTTATATGAAAATTTAAAGGAAGCATTATAAGTAAGGCATTGATTATTTGTGATAAGAAATAATCGACGATCATTTTCTTTTTTCGAATTAATTATCCGAGAAATGGAATTTAAATTCAGAATTCAAATTCACTATATATTGCAATGCTAATTATAATTGTTGATTATGATTGTTGAATATGAATTAATTTCCAATTTGGTTGTTTTAATTATTTTAATTAAATTTGTGCAGTTTTCGCTGAAAAATTGATAAAAATTTAATTTTGATAAATAAATCTTTTATTTTCTAGTTTAAATAAATATAACAAAAATGAATAAAAATTTTTGTTTTATTATTTTTTATTAAAATTCGATAATTTTGCTTAATTCAAATACATATACATATATTTATTAAAACATTGAATTCATAATAATAATAATATTAATGAAATTAATTTGAAATGAAAATATATATATTTATCGAACGATTAAATTCATAATAATAATAGTATAATGAAATTAATTTGAAATGGAAATACACATATATATTTATCAAAACATTAAATTCATAATAATAATAATAAAATCAATAATAATAATAATAATAATAATAATAATAACAATAATAGTAATAATAATAACAGATAATATTGATGAAATTAATTTGAAATGAACAAATGTTAACGTAAAATAAGAATAAATTAAATTTTACATTTAAAAATAATTTTTTCCTATAAAACCATAAAATGTATTAAAAAATGTAAAATCATTTTCTTTTAAAATATTTTTTAAAAAATTAATAAATTTTTACGAAATATTTATTGATGATATTTTATATCAAAAGTTAATTTAAATGAAATAAATTATCGATTTAGGCTTTTAGCTTGAAACAAGTTTGGCTAAATTAGCGATAAGTGAATTTAAACGATTAATAGGATCGATTTGAATTCAATTATCAAAATTGTCGAAAATGCTAATCATTATGCATCGTGATGATTTGCTTGACACACTTCTTAAAATGGCCAGTTTTCCGATGTTACAACAATTGGATTATCCGTTGCTCTCAAAATGATCACCACTAACCTTCCCATCCATCCATTCTTTCTTTTTAATGCTCAATCTGTCCACAACATTTTAAACTTTTATTTACTAAAATCAATATAGCTTTTTGAATAATGTTAAATAAATGGTTTTATTTTTTCCGAAAAAAGATTGTAGCAAATTAATTTCATCATTCCGAATGTCAAAGTCATTCCGGGTTTCCTTTATTTCCGGAAATTTTCATGTATCTGTATCGAAATAACCTATCGGATTAACTTTTATACATTTCAATAAAATAATTTATCAGTTGATTAAAGAAATTCAAAATTTCACCACATTCTTATAGAGTAGAGGTTATACTTTTACGAAATGAAATAGTAAATATACCGAGAATTCTCGATCAAGAGTATTAAAGATTACTGATTGCTTTACTTGGATTACGGTATTTGAAAATGAAAGAGATGACAGAGAATTGAGGATAAAGCGAGAGAAATTTGATACCATGCAAATATGCTAATGCTAACATAGCTTATCAATCAAATAATGCGCTAATTGTAGATTATTTAGTAAGAGAATGGACAATATGGTATTGCATCCGGAATGAATGAATATATTATAATCGATTCAATGAAATAGTTGAAATGGAAAATAACTCTCCGATAAATCTCCGGTGAAATAAAAACAAAGGGACAATATGGTATTGCATCCGGAATAGATAGATATATTATAACCGATTCAATGAAATAGTTGAAATGGGAAATAAATTTCAGACAAATCTCGAATGAAATGAAAAAAGGGAATCGATGTGAAATTTAAGCTGCCATATTTGTATTTGCAAATGTATACCGCCAAATTTCATTACTGATTATTCATTTACTGATTAATCATTACTGATTATTCATTACTGATTATTCATTAGAATATCTTTGATATTTTAAATTTATTAAATTTAAAATTCTAAAAAAAAATTTAAGCCTAAAAAAATTTTTGTTAAAAAAATGATATCAAATATAATTCATTTCTGTATAATTTAA